GATGGATCCTGGGAACGTTGGCATTCATATCTCCCAGAGTCGCTCCAGTTTACATTTGAGATGTTTAAAGAAAAGTCATTGTCCTCATTTCTGAAATGGAGCCGTTTTCCAAAGTGAGTAGAGTCCGGTTGAAGGTTGATACGTTGATCTGACTGGTGGGGGCTCCAGTACCAGGTGGCCTTTAGCTTTAAAAAAAACAGTTTTTTGCAGAAGAGGAAGAGTTTATCTCCCTCACTGTCTCGAAACAAAATCAACTTGTCATTTAATGATCCTGCAATAAAGAAAGCATTATTATTATTAGTATTATTACTATGTAAATATGTACGTAGCTATATAACTGTTTACCTTCTTTCAGTTCCAATTTTGTACTTGCATTGTGGCAGACATACTCTCCCTTATTCTGAAAGTTTTTTATAAGTAGATATTCTGTCCTGTTTAAATTGACTCTCATTGTGTTGCTGGATTGAGGTCCTTCCCAAAGAGCCTGTCCAGTGCTGGAGGAGCAGCTTAAAGAAACATCATCCCCTGGAGCAATTTGAGTAACTGCCCCTAAAGAAACACAGAAATAGATTTATTAAAGTAAATATAACTCTCCCTTACTTTTTTCATTCTATCCCATCAAATGACAGTCATTTATTAACTCACCACTGAAGACTGTAGATTCACCAACACAAACAATCAGACAGATTAAGAGCCTCGCAGACATTCTGAAAGACAGAGATATCCGAGTCATGCTGCAGTTAGAGGAACATCAGTCTCATATTTCCTGTTATGAGGCGTGTAAAGAGGAGCTTTCTGTCCGAGCATGGTCAGACTCACACTGACATCAGACTGAAGACGCAAACAAACACAAACCACGGAGATAAAAAAAACACAGCAAGCCAGGCAGACATTGGTTCACTGGTAGTTGATGTAACTGTGTAAATTAGAACAATTATAAATATAGTTTCTTTTGTGGGGATTCAGCATCTGTGGGTTTTACACGCTCGTTAGTGGTGTCTTCACTGGTCATGTGTCTCACAGAAATGTCCATTTATCTGCTGAGGCGTCTTTATTTTTTGCATCTAGCTTTTCCATTCGCTTCTGAATCCAGGCCTGTAGCTGTGAATTTGCATCTGGGGGTTATTTTTTAAATTTCCATCCATTCTCCGTCTAGGCAATCATGATTCAGTGACAGATTCTCACTGAATCTTTTTATTAGACCAAAGTCTGGTTCTCTTGAGTTTTCAGTAGCAGGCAGTTGGATGTATTTGCCGAGTTTATAATGCTTATCAGGGAGTAGCACAGCTGTCTAAGCGCTAGCTCTGTCATCAAGAGATTGAAAGCTTGATCCCCGGCGATGCCACAGCCATCCATGGTTGGGAGTCCAAGAGCAGTAAACACAAGCAGTTAGCGTTCTCCTCCAAGCGTGTTGAGCTGTCCAGGGATGTTGCATTAGTGATTAGTAACATTTTTTGGCAGCACTACAATCAAACAGCTAAATAAGATCAGGTCCTGTAGATGGACTGATATCTGTCTACCTTAGACTACATTGTGAGCAGAGCTACCTCTGTGCTGAATTTAGTACAAATCGAGCCACTGATTGTGTGTCCTGGAGTTTACAGGGCTGAAGTGGCAAATCTACTCACATCTGCTCAAAGTGATCAACAATCAGTGAAGGCAAATTTTTCACCCATGCACAGCTTAAGGTGATGAGGAAAAGAGAAGGGGTGGGGCCTCTGAAGGTCAGCTGAGCGGCGAGTTGCCAATCAGATAAACGGTCTAGAGTTCAAAATTTTTGCTGCTCCTTGTTCGTTATTCATTTAAATGAAGACTCTTTGACTTCCTGTCTAACCTGCTGAGAGAGGCAGTGGAGTGCCTAGCAGAGCTAACAAGAGCTACCCTGCTAGGGAGCATGCTACTTAGGCTTCTCAAAGTGAACATTTCTTCAAGTAGGACGTTCCTGGATCTGTATCACTACTGGAGCAACTTTCCTTTTAACCAGCTACTGCCATCTGCTGTCAGTGTGGCTGCTGCTCCTCCTGAGACACTTACAATTACAGTTCATAAATGAAGGAGCATCTCAGTAATCTGTAGTTAGCCACATTTAGCTGAGCCCTTGAACAAGTCCCTCCAAACTTGCTATTTTACAGTGAGGTACAGCAAGTGTTACTCATTTTAGTATTACAACCCCGTTTCCAAAAAAGTTGGGATGTTGTGCAAAATGTAAATAACAACAGAATGCAATGATGTGCAAATCATATAAACTCCATATTTGATTGAAAATAGTACAAAGACAACATCAAATGTTGAAACTGAGAAGTTTTATCATTTTAGCAAAGAACTTGAGGATTTCTTTGTCTACGGTAAATAATATCATTAAAAGATTCAGAGAATCTGGAGTAATCTCTGTATGTAAGGGACAAGGCCAAAAACCGTTGTTGGCTGGTTGTGATCTTCAGGTCTCCCAGCGGCACTGCATTAAAGCAGGCATGATTCTGTAGTGGAAATCACTGCATGGGCTCAGAAATACTAACAAAAAAACACTGTCTGTGAAAACAGTTCGTCGCTGCATCCAGAAATGCAAGTTAAAACTCTTCCATACAAAGAAGACACCATATATAAACAGGATCCAGAAACACTGCCGCCTTCTCTGGGCTCAAGCTCATTTAAAATGGACTGAGGGGAAGTGGAAAAGTGTCCTGTGGTCCAACGTGATAGTATGGGGGGTGCATTGGTAAACATGGCATGGGTGACTTGCACATCTGTGCAGGCACCATTAATGCTGAACAGTATATGGTTTTGGCAAAATGTGCTGCCATCCAGACTACCTTTTTTCAAGGAAGGCCTTGATTACTTCAGCATTACACTGTCAAACCACATTCTGCATGTATTACAACAGCATGGCTCCATAGTAAACTGACCTGCCTGCAGTCCAAACCTGTCACCACTGAAAGTATTTGGTGCATTAAGGAATGAAAAATGAGATCAGCAGCTGAGCAGCTGAAATCCTGTATCAAACAAAAATGAGAAAACATTTCACTTTCTAAACTACAGCAGTATCTCCTCAGTTCCCAAACGTTTACAGAGTGTTGTTAAAGAAGAGGTGATGAAACACAAACAGGCCCCCGTCCCAACTTTTTTGGAACGTGTTGTTGGCATCAAATTCAAAATGGTCAAATATTTTTCAAAACACTATACAATTTCTCAGTTTCAACATTTGATATGTTGTCTTTGTACTATTATCAATTGTACAAAATATAGGGTTTATATGATTTGCATTTCATTGCGTTCTGTTTTTATTTATATTCTGCACAGCATCCCAACTTTTTTTGGAAATGGGGTTGTAGAAATGGACCAAAATCCTTGATTTGTAGAAAATACTGAAGCTGCATACTAGTTAGGCTAATGAGTTAGGATAGTTGGATGTATTTGCTAAATCTGTTCATGTCACTGGTTGCTGATACAGCTTTAATCTCCATAGAAAAGCACTGGCCAGTAGAATGGGACGCTCTGGAGCAGCAGCACATGATCCAAAGGTCACCATGTCCAGTGCCACTGAACTGTGGAGCAGTGGAACTGTGTTCTCTGGTGTGATGGAGCTCCATCCTACACCTTTGGGATGAGTTGGAGAGATCCAGAACTGACCATCCAACATCAGTACCTGACCTCACTAATGCTCAATCAAATCCTCACAGCAATGTTCAACATCTAGTGTAAAGCCTTCCCATCAGAGTAGAGGCTGTTACTGCAGCACAAACTCAATACTAACTACCTTCATTTCAGAAGAAACTCTGGACTCTACGGTCTTTTGGAGAAAACAGTGATTCTCAAATGTAATTTTAAATCACTGAGCTGAGTCGCCAGAGGGGGGCGCTAAAGATCAGCATTTGGAAAAACAATCATTTCAGTTCCCAAACCTCTATCAGTGACGTTAAAGAGTGAAAGGTGATATTTTTACTGTGAAGCTGAAGAGGAACAGACTGTAACTGTGCTCTCCTGTGAGGGGAAAGGGGAGGGGCAGGACCTCTTAAGGTCAGCTGACCAGCGAGCAGCCAATCAGTGGCCCTGCATGATGCAGATAACCAGTCTAAACAATTTAATTTAAATTTTTATCCTCATGTATCTTCATACATTCAGCATCATTTGTCTTATTTGTAAACTTTGTTCTCACATCTCTCCCGTTCAGAAAGAACTGCACTGGCTGCCTGAATCTTATAGGACAGATTTTCACGAAGTTTATTTATACTTGATCAAAACATGAAATTCTTTCATTTTGTGTTTATAAAAGATTTTCTTGACAGCAGCTCAACAAAATTCTACCCTAATCCAGCTGTAGCTCAACAAATTTCCTGTACAAAGTTCAGTGTAGCTCTACTATATTGTGTCCTAACTTAACTTGTAATGAAACATAGATGTTAAGTGTAGAGGACTCAAGAGAAATACAAGCGCAAGGAATTCCCAGATCATAAAGAATGTGATTCTTTACTGTTTCCTCTTGTTTCCTCTTGTCTGAATCCAGGGCTGTAATTTTTAATCCTAATCAGGATATTTTTGAAATTCTATCTTCATTCCATCTATGCAGTCAGATCCAATGACAGATTCTGAGTCTTTCACCACCTGTGATGGTGTGGGGCCATGAGGAGGATGGATATATGAGTGGAATCTTTCTATTAGGAATAATTCTTGTTCAGTAAAGTCTGTTAGAGTACTTAATGTCCTAATCTGACTGTAGCTGACAAAATTCTGCCTAAACCCGACTGTATCCCAACAAATTTCCTGTACAAACTTCACTGTAGCTTTACAAAATTCTGTCCTAACTTGGCTGCTGAATTAAGTGAAAAACTAGTGTTTATAGTGATAAAACATAGAGGTTCAGCACAGACGACTGAAGAGGAATCACATAGTGGGTCAGAAGTGAAGTGTGAATGAGTGCAGTATGGTATAAATGTAGGCGTTGCCTGAACAGGTGAGTTTTCTGACCGTAGTGGAAAGAACTGAGTGACCGTGCTGTCCAGAATTCATATGGGAAGCTGTTCCACCATTAAGGGGCGCTAAAGGACACTAAAGCAGAAAGACCGAGTCTTACAGGCATGTTTAGATTTTAAGGAAGGACAAATCAAGAGCCCAGAATTCAGAGACCTAAGTTGGTTTGCAGGTGTGTAGTTAAAAACGAAGGTGCAGAGGTAGAGAGACCCTTGAAGATTAGAATGGGAGAACCAGAGCTGTATATCTGATTCTCGCTTCCACAGGAAACAACTAGAGTGAGAATATTTAAATAACATAACAGAGAAAGACGGAATATTACAACAAAATATGATGAAGTTCAGTCATCCTTGTTTTATTGTTTCAATTAAAATATGTTTTATATATTTACTCTTGGTCTCTTCTGTTTTTTCTCATTTAATACACCAATCAGGACCTTCGGCCTTTAAACACGATTTTCACTTTTAATAATAAACAGTGTGATCTGCACTTCATATGAATGCAGAACACACACACACACACACACACACACACACACACAGACACACACACACCCCTAATATACACACACACTCCTTGTTGATCAGTTTACTGTGATGCAGTAATGTCACCGTTGTCAGATTGGTGCAGATCACTATTATAAAATACTGTATTTTCATACAATCTTCCCTCAAGACAGTTATCCTGTAATGATGATAGAAGTAATAGGTAGTGCTGTTAGCTGTTAGGCTAGCACTGCTGCACACACAGACGATGCAGCACGTCTTCATTCACAGAGCTGCTCCGTTTTATCTGACAGTGATGTCACAGTTCCTGTCCCACTCCATTCCCCTCCTGACCCACCTTTTGTCCCACTCCATCCAAAAAGCAAACAAACAAATAAACAAACCTTAAATTTATACTGGTTACCCTATCAAAGGTGAGGTAAATTGTGTACATGAGTTAATAATTCATTTTAAATGTTCAGTTTAGAGGGTAAAATACTGGCATCATTAATCTAAACTTCTTGAAAAATAACGGTTGTATGTACGTCGTCACCTTCAGCCCAGAGGAGATTCTGAACAAGAGACAGAAACGAGACTTTCATTATAGAGAAGCACAGACAGACAAATAGAAATAGAGGAAACATAAGTTGAGTTTTTTGCTGATTTTGCATTTACTTACAGAAATCGTCAGACATTCAGGGGAAGCATCATCTGCAGAGAGTTTCATACATTATATCATTATATCTGTAACGTATTCCAGAAGACGCTCAACACACTGATGTTCATATCTGAAATGTTGAATGTTCTTTGAGCTCTGAGCACCTGGAATTTTTTTTTAAATCGATCAAACTGTGTGGCTTAAAGGAATTTTGTCAATAATTTTAGTCTTTGTTAACAAGAGATTACAGATTTTTAACAGAAACAGCAGAAAATATAAAATTAGCATTTATAGTGTAAATATTTCTACATGCACAAGTTTCATATTTCTATAAACTAACAGAATCATCTCTAAACTAACATTAGATATAAAGTAAATTGTGTGCTGAGGGAGATTTACTCCACTGGTCTTCACTTTCTGGATGTTCACTTAGCCTGCAGCCCTATTCAGTCTGGATTAGTTTCACATGAGGAGGTGGGTAATGTAGTTTATACCAGCGTTTCTCAGTGATTTTAGTCTGAATCCACCGTGTCAGTCGTTTTTATGGACTGTGCATTTTTATCATCTATAAAACGAGCCGCAGAAACAACATCGGGTTATATTAATGCTGTACGACTCAATATGTCAGTAAAAATGCTGCTGTGTTCTGTAGAAAAGGAGTTTCTTAAGTATTGAGGCCCTCAAAGAAGTGTTTATTTGTGTTCTGTGTGAATAAAATGAAGCTGATATGTACTTTACTACCTCAGTTGTACAACTCAGAACATTTTTTTTTTTATTTGCATAAAATTATTTTGTGTTGATGCTGACTAATGATACCGTGTCTTCACTTAAGACAGCTCAACAGATGATAGGATCATAGGATAAACACAGTAACGGCTGAATTAAATGTTTTGACGTGTTTCTGGAGTCAGCAGTGAGTAAATTAAGCAATTTCTGTCATTTCTATTCAGATTTCTTATCCAGGCAGTCATAAACATTACAGACGTCCTGTGGTAAAATTACATTATCCCACCTCCCCATGGAAAACTAATCCCATCCGGATAGCAGAGATGGGAACAAGTCACTAAGTTGCAAGTAACAAGTCAATCCCAAGTCTTGATGCTCGAGTCCCGAGTCAGTACAGACAAGTCTGAAGTTGAGTCCCAAGTCCTAAACAAGGCCGTCTGAATTCTTCAGCTAATTTAAGGCCATTTTCAACACTGAACACCAAAATGTTGGTAACAGTAACACAGTCTTTTTTGTGTACGGCTGTATATTAAGTTTTTTTTTCCAAATACTGTATGAAATTGATGGTACATGAACAGACATGATGGTACACAGTACAGATTTTCTCTGTAGACTCTTTAGACTCTCTGATTGGACCACAAAGCACTTTTGTAAGTTGCTCTGGAAAAGAGCTTCTGCTAAATGAGTGGATAAGAGGTGAATTTTGTGAAACTGTCAATTTTATTTAATATTTAAACAATTTTAAAAACATGAGGTCCTAAAGATCTACAGACATGGTGTAAAACGAAATGCTGGCTAGACATTTTTCTTACTTTTAGTTCTTTTTCTCCAGCACACAGCACTGACCAGGACTATGAGGATGAAGGAGAAAACAGTGCAGACGCTGACCAAGGTGAAGTCTTTATGAGGAAGTCCAGGAACTATTGGAGAATGCAGGGGGATACAGAAATTACATTTATGCACATTTCACAGTGAATATGGTCATTAAAGTCACTGTATGCCCTGTGGGTCAGTGTCTGATGTAGTCAAGTGACCTTCAAAGCTGTGTCCTGTAGTCTGTATCAGTTTTAAACTCACCCATGTTGTCATAGTGAGGAGCTGGAGTTGATCTCGTTGTGGTGGTGAGGTGCTGGTTAATGTTGAGAGTTAATGGAAAAAGTGCTTTTAGTTTGGAGTCATTAAACACAGCACACGTCCAGTTTCTCTGACCCATAGTAACTCTCCTCAGCTGATGTGGGTTTGGAAAGTTCTCTTGGGTTTCCATGTTGATCCAGTACAGTCGTGTGTTCGGCAGGTGATAAGAAACATTACACTGTAACGTGACGTCGCCCCCCTCAGTTAGCTGCTGAGGGTCGGCATGAACTGTGGAGCAGAGAGAGACATTTCAGTTCAGTTTAGTGTGTAACGTCAGCACTGACCTGTTTGAGCAATCAGAAATAAGGTTAAACAGAAAGGACGGTTAGGTACCTCTCACCACCACAAGTTCAAAGAAAGTCTTGTGTTGAGATGAACGTTGACATTCATATCTCCCAGAGTCGCCCCAGTTTATACTTGAGATGGTTAAAGAAAAGTCGTTGTCCTTATTTCTGAAATGGAGCCGTTTCCCAAAGTGAGCAGAGTTCAGTCCAAGGGTGAGAGTTTTATCTGAATGGTGGGGTCTCCAGTACCAGGCAGTCCTTAAGGGTGTAGAGAGCAGATTTTTGCAGAAGAGGAGGAGTGAATCTCCCTCACTGGTTCGAAACAAAACTGACTCGTCATTTGATGATGCTGAAATAAACATACAAAGTATTTTGCAGGCATTATTATTATTATTATTATTATTATTATGTAAATATGTACATAGCTATATAACTGTTTACCTTCTTTCAGTTCAAATTTTATATGGTCATTGTGGCAGACATACTCTCTCTTATTCTGAACTTGAAAGTTTTTTATAAGTAGATATTCTGTCCTGTTTAAATTGAGTCTCATTGTGTTGCTGGATTGAGGTCCTTTCCAACGATCCTGTCCAGTGCTGGAGGGGCAGCTTAAAGAAACATCATCCCCTGTAGCAATTTGAGTAACTGCTCCTAAAGAGAGACAGAAACAAATATACTGAAGTAAATACTGCTCACCTTTTCACTCACTCTATCCCATCAAATGACGGTCATTTATTAACTCACCACTGAAGACTGTAGATTCACCAACACAAACAATCAGACAGATTAAGAGCCTCGCAGACATTCTGAAAGACAGAGATACGCGAGTCATGCTGCAGTTAGAGGAACATCAGTCTCATATTTCCTGTTACGAGGCGTGTAAAGAGGAGGTTTCTGTCCGAGCATGGTCAGACTCTACCAACATCAGACTGAAGGCGCAAACAAACACAAACCACTGAGATGAAAAAACCCAGTGAGCCAGGCAGGCATTGGTTCACTGGCAGATGATGTAGCTGTAAATTAGAACAATTATAAATATAGTTTCTTTTCTGGGGATTCAGCATCTGTGGGTTTCAAATGGTGTGGTGTCCTCAGTGGTCATGTGTCTCATAGAAGTGTCCAAGTCAATGTCTTTGCATTTTTTCTCCCTTCGCTTCTGAATTCAGGCCTGTTGTCGTGAATTTGCATTGGGTTATTTTTGACTTTCTGTCCATTCTCCATCTATGCAGTACCAAAGTCTGGTTCTCTAAAGTTTTCTGTAGCAGACAGTTGGATGTTGTTTATAATGCTTATCAGAGAGTAGCACAGCTGTCTAAGCGCTAGCTCTGTCGTCAGGAGATTGAAAGCTTGATCCCCGGTGAGATCAGAAGTGCTACATGGCGCAGATAAACAGTCTAGTAAATATAATTAAAATTATTTTTTGTCTTTGATGTGGTCATTTGTGGTTTTAATGTTGAAGTGGCTCATTCAGATTTATTTAAATGAGGTCTGTTGGACTTCCTGTCTAACCCGCTGAGAGAAGCAGTGGAGTCCCTAGCAGAGATATACAAAAGCTAGCCTGCTAGGGAGCATGCTACTTAGGCTAATGAGTTAGCTTTCTGAGTAAACAGGCTTCTCAAACTGAACATTTCTTCAAGTAGGACATTCCTGGATCCGTATCACTACTGGAGCAACTTTCCTTTTAACCAGCTACTGCCATCTGCTGTCAGTGTGGCTGCTGCTCCTCCCTGAGACACTTGAAACTCTCAGTAATCTGTAGTTAGCCAAATTTAGCTGAGCTATTTTACCGTGAGGTAAAGCAAATGTTACTCATTTTAGTTCTTAGAAATGGACCATTTCTCAGAACTAAATCTTGATGTATCTTGATTTGTGGAAAATACTGAAGCTGCATACTAGTCAGGCTAGTGAGTTTGGACAGTTGGATGTATTTGCCAAATCTGTTTAGGTCACTCATTGCTGACACAGCTTTAATCTCTGTAGAAAAGCACTGGCCAATAGAATGAGACGCTCTGGAGCAGCAGCACATGAACCTAAGGTCTCCATGCCCAAAGCCAAGCGTGGGCTAGAGGGGTATAAAGCCCCCCAGCATTGGGAACTGGAACTGCATTCTCTGGAGTGATGGAGCTCCATCCAATATCTTTGGGATGAGTTGGAGTGATCCAGAACTGACCATTCAACATCAGTACCTGACCTCACTAATGCTCAATCAAATCCTCACAGCAATGTTCAACGTCTAGTGTAAAGCCTATTTACCTACCTGTTTAAAATTTAGTTTTTAATCACTGAGCTGAGTCGCCAGAGGGGGTCGCTAAAGATCGGCATTTGGAAAAACAATCATTTCAGTTCCCAAACCTCTATCAGTGACGTTAAGATGAACAGATTGTAGCTTTGCTCACCTGTGCACAAGTAAAGATGATGAGGGGAAATGGGAAGGGCAGGGCCTCTGAAGGTCAGCTGACCAGCGAGTAGCCAGTCAATAGCCCTGCGCGATGCAGATAACCAGTCTAGACAATTGAATTTTTTATCCTCACGTATCTTCATACACTCAGCATCATCTTGCTGTCTTATTTGTAAACTTTATTCTCACATCTCTCCCGTTTAGAAAGAACTGCACTGGCTGCCTGAATCTTATAGGACAGATTTTCAGTACGTTTATTTTTACTTGATCAAAACATGAAATTCTTTCATTTTTTTTTATTTTTGAAAGATTTTCCAAAAAGGTCTTGACTGTAGCCCAACAAAATTCTATCCTAATCCAGCTGTAGCCCAACAAATGTCCTGTACAAATTTCACCGTACCTTTACTATATTGTGTCCTAACTTAACTGCTGAGTTAAGTGCACTGTTTAAAGTGATGTAATATAACACAGAGGTTAAGTGGAGAGACTGAAGAGAAATACAAGCCAAGGAATTCCCAGATCATAAAGAATGTGATTCTTTACTGTTTCCTCTTGTCTGAATTCAGGGCTGTAATTTTTAATTCTAATCAGGATATTTTTGAAATTCTATCTTTATTACATCTATGCAGTCGGATCCAATGACAGTTTCTGAGTCTTTCACCACCTGTGATAGTGTGGGGCCATGAGGAGGATGGATATATGTGTGGAATCTTTCTATTAGGAATAATTCTTGTTCAGTAAAGTCTGTTAGAGTACTTAATGTCCTAATCTGACTGTAGCTGACAAAATTCTGCCTAAACCCGACTGTATCCCAACAAATTTCCTGTACAAACTTCACTGTAGCTTTACAAAATTCTGTCCTAACTTGGCTGCTGAATTAAGTGCGCTGTTTAAAGTGATAAAACACAGAGGTTCAGCACAGACGACTGAAGAGGAATGACATAGTGGGTCAGAAGTGAAGTGTGAATGAGTGCAGTATGGTATGAATCTAGGTGTTACCTGAACAGGTGAGTTTTGTTAGTGGAAAGGACTGAGTGACTCTGCAGTGCAGAATTCATATGGGAAGCTGTTCCACCACTAAGGGGCGCTAAAGGACACTAAAGCAGAAAGACTGAGTCTTACAGGCATGTTTAGATTTTAAGGAAGGACAAATCAAGAGCCCAGAATTCAGAGACCTAAGTTGGCTTGTAGGTGTGTAGTTAAAAACGAAGGTGCAGAGGTAGAGAGACCCTTGAAGATTAGAATGGGAGAACCAGAGCTGTATATCTGATTCTCGCTTCCACAGGAAGAAACTAGAGTGAGAATATTTAAATAATATAACAGAGAAAGACGGAATATTACAACAAAATATGATGAAGTTCAGTCATCCTTGTTTTATTGTTTCAATTAAAATATGTTTTATATATTTACTCTTGATCTCTTCTGTTCTTTCTCATTTAATACACCAATCAGGACCTTCGGCCTTTAAACACGATTTTCACTTTTAATAATAAACAGTGTGATCTGCACTTCATATGAATGCTTAACACACACACACAGACACACACACACACACACACACACACACACACACACACACACCCCTAATATACACACACACTCCTTGTTGATCAGTTTACTGTGATGCAGTAATGTCACCGTTGTCAGATTGGTGCAGATCATTATTATAAAATACTGTATTTTCATACAATCTTCCCTCAAGACAGTTATCCTGTAATGATGATAGAAGTAATAGGTAGTGCTGTTAGCTGTTAGGCTAACTGAGCACTGCTGCACACACAGACGATGCAGCACGTCTTCATTCACAGAGCTGCTCTGTTTTATCTGACAGTGATGTCACAGTTCTGTCCCACTCCATTCCCCTCCTGACCCACCTTTTGTACCACTCCATCCAAAAAGCAAACAAATAAACAAACAAACCTTAAATTTATACTGGTTACCCTATCAAAGGTGACGTAAATTATGTACATGAGTTAATAATTCATTTTAAATGTTCAGTTTAGAGGGTAAAATACTGGCATCATTAATCTAAACTTCTTGAAAAATAATGGTTGTATATACGTCGTCATCTTCAGCCCAGAGGAGATTCTGAACAAGAGACAGAAACGAGACTTTCATTATAGAGAAGGACAGACAGACAAATAGAAATAGAGGAAACGTAAGTTGGGTTTTTGCTGATTTTGCATTTACTTACAGAAATCGTCAGACATTCAGGGGGAGCATCATCTGCAAAGAGTTTCATACATTATATCATTATATCTGTAACATATTCCAGAAGACGCTCAACACACTGATGTTCATATCTGAAATGTTAAATCAATATGTCAGTAAAAATGCTGCTGTGTTCTGTAAAAAAAGAGTTTCTTAAGTATTGAGGCCCTTAAAGAAATGTTTACTTTTCTCTGTGGCTAAAATCAAGCCGATATGTACTTTACTACCTCAAGTGTACAACTAAGACCATTAAAACCTAAAATTATTTTATTTGCATAAAATTATTTTATGTATGGATGTTGACAAATGACACTGTATTCACTTAAACACAGTAACAGCTAAATTAAATGTTTTGATGTGTTTTGTACTCGTTTCTAGAGTCAGCAGTGAGTAAATTGAGTCACTTCTGTCATTTATATCAAGATTTCTTATCTGATTTTTCAGATTTTGGTATTTATTGCTCGTAATACAGGCAGCACAGTGGCGCAGTGGGTGGCACTGTCACCTCACAGCAAGAAGGGCCTGGGTTAGATTCCCGGCCGGGCGACCGGGGTCCTTTCTGAGTGGAGCTTGCCTGTTCTCCCCGTGTCTGTGTGGGTTTCCTCCGGGTTCTCCAGTTTCCTCCCACAGTCCAAAGACATGCAGTCAGGCCGATTGGACATGCTAAATTGCCCCAAGGTGTGAATGTGTGTGTGATTGTATATGTATGTCTGTCTGTCTGCCCTGCGATGGACTGGCGACCTGTCCTGCCTTCCGCCCAATGACAGCTGGGATAGGCTCCAGCACCCCACCGCAACCCAGAAGGATAAGCGGTTTAGATGATGTGTGTGTGTGTGTGTGTGTGTGTGTGTGTGTGTGTGTGTGTGTGTGTGTGCTCGTAATACAATACACTTTTTTCAACAAGCTGTATGTCTATAATAAAAGTTAATTATTATAATCCATTTATTGTAATTTTTTTATTTATGTATTACTCATGTCTGGCAAAGTCTACTATGAATTCATTTACCAATAATTTATACATTTTCCAACAGACCTTCACTGTTTTGATAGTTAAACACACCGTAAACAAAAGAAATTCATGCATCTACCATCAGTTGTTCAAAAGTAATGACCTGGATACTGCAACTCTCTCCTGGCTGATCTGTGTGGGCCATCAGGCTCTTCAGCTGATCCAGAATGCAGCAGCTCAGCTCGTCTTTAATCTTCCTAAGTTCACTCATGTCACTAAACTGCTGCGCTCCCTTCACTGGCTTCCTGTAGCTGCATCAGATTTAAAACTGTGATGACTGCAAAACCAAAAATGGACCTGTTTCTCCCGACCTGATGGGCAAAACTTGTTCAAGTACAACTCGGCTTGAACGGCCCTCCTTCAGGATGCATGGAAGACCAGCATCCAGACTCTTCTCTGTCTTCTCTAATATTCATAACGTTTCTCAGAGCTGGAGAGCTGATCTGGGGTCACAGTCTTCTCTTATGAGACGACCTTGCTGCCAGGAACAGGTCCTAAATCAACTCCCCTAATCTGAGACACTTTATGAGTACAAACCCAGATGGTGGAACAAACTTTCCCTCACTGTCTATAAAGACCCGTCACTTCAAAAAGCATTTCAAATCAACACTAATTCAACACTTGATGAAATGTCTTGTTTCTATGTAACTGTCTCTTTAGACACCAAGTCAAAGATGCATTCTCTGATTGGACCACAAAGCACTTTTGTAAGTCGCTCTGTAAAAAAGCTTCTGCTAAATGCTGTAGTGAATTTTGTGAGACTGTCATGTTTATTTAATATTTAAACCATTTTAAAAAGTGAGATACTGAAGACGTTGTATGTACAGACATTGTGTAAGATGAAATGTTTGTGATAATTTTTTTCTTACTTTTAGTCTTTTTTCTCCAGCACACAGCACCGATCAGGACTAGGAGGAGGAAGCAGAATACAGCGCAGACACTGATCAAGATGAGATCTTTATGAGGAAGACCAGGACCTGCCAGAGAATGCAGGGGGTTATAGAAATGATATATATTTCACAGTGAATTTTGTAATGAGTGTTACTCTGTTTACCCTGTGAGTTAGTACCTGATGTAGTCCTGTGACCTTCAAAGATGTGTCCTGTAGTCTGTAGCAGAGTTTTGGACTCACCCATGTTGTCATGGTGAGTGGTTGGAGTTGATCTCGTCGTGGTGGTGAGGTGCTGGTTAATGTTGAGAGTTAATGGAAAAAGTCCTTTCAGTTTGGAGTCATTAAACACAGCACACGTCCAGTTTCTCTGACCCATAGTAACGTTCCTCAGCTGATGTGGGTTTAGAAAGTTCTCTTGGGTTTCCATGTTGATCCAGTACAGTCGTGTGTTCAGCAGGTGATGAGAAACTTCACACTGTAACGTGACGTCGTCCCCCTCAGTTAGCTGCTGAGGGTCGGCACGAACTGTGGAGCAGAGAGAGACATTTCAGTTCAGTTTTGTGTGTAACGTCAGCACTGACCTGTTTGAGCAATCAGCAATAAGGTTAAACAGAAAGGACGGTTAGGTACCTCTCACCACCACAAGTTCAAAGAAAATCTTGCGTTGAGGTGAAAGTTGACATTCGTATCTCCCAGAGTCGCCCCAGTTTATACTTGAGATGTTTAAAGAAAAGTCGTTGTCCTTATTTCTGAAATGGAGCCGTTTCCCAAAGTGAGTAGAGTTCAGTCCAAGGGTGAGAGTTTTATCTGAATGGTGGGGTCTCCAGTACCAGGCAGCCCTTAAGGGTGTAGAGAGCAGATTTTTGCAGAAGAGGAAGAGTGAATCTCCCTCACTGGCTCGAAACAAAACCGACTCGTCATTTGATGATGCTGAAATAAACATACAAAGTATTTTGCAGGCATTATTATTATTATTATTATTATTATTATGTAAATATGTACATAGCTATATAACTGTTTACCATCTTTCAGTTCAAATTTTATATGGTCACTGTGGCAGACATACTCTCTCTTATTCTGAACTTGAAAGTTTTTTATAAGTAGATATTCTGTCCTGTTTAAATTGAGTCTCATTGTGTTGCTGGATTGAGGTCCTTCCCAACGATCCTGTCCAGGGCTGGAGGGGCAGCTTAAAGAAACATCATCCCCTGGAGCAATTTGAGTAACTGCTCCTAAAGAGAGACAGAAACAAATGTACTGAAGTAAATACTGCTCTCCTTTTCACTCACTCTATCCCATCAAATGACAGTCATTTATTAACTCACCACTGGAGCCTGTAGATTCACCAACACAAACAATCAGACAGACTAAGAGCCTCGCAGACATTCTGAAAGACAGAGATACGCGAGTCATGCTGCAGTTAGAGGAACATCAGTCTCATATTTCCTGCTATGAGGCGTGTAAAGAGGAGCTTTCTGTCCGAGCATGGTCAGACTCTACCAACATCAGACTGAAGGCGCAAACAAACACAAACCACTGAGATGAAAAAACCCAGTGAGCCAGGCAGACATTGGTTCACTGGCAGATGATGCAGCTGTAAATTAGAACAATTATAAATATAGTTTCTTTTCTGGGGATTCAGCATTTGTGGGTTTCAAATGGTGTGGTGTCCTCAGTGGTCATGTGTCTCATAGAAGTGTCCAAGTCAATGTCTTTGCATTTTTTCTCCCTTCGCTTCTGAATTCAGGCCTGTTGTCGTGAATTTGCATCTGGTTATTTTTGACTTTCTGTCCATTCTCCATCTATGCAGTACCAAAGTCTGGTTCTCTAATGTTTTCTGTAGCAGGCAGTTGGATGTTGTTTATAATGCTTATCAGAGAGTAGCACAGCCATCTTAGTGCTAGCGCTGTCGTCAGGAGATTGAAAGCTTGATCCCCGGCGATGCCACAGCTATTCATGGTTGGGAGTCCAAGAGCAGTAAACACAAGCAGTTAGAGTTCTCCTCCAAGCGTGTTGAGCTGTCCAGGGATGTCATGTTAGTGGCAGATTGAAAAGATTTGGTGGCACTTACATGTTTTAGAGTACACCTTAGCCATCATCTTCCCAGTTTAGTAGCATCGTGTGATGGGGAGAGCTCACTAACAGGTGGAGTAAATTAGGTTCAAATAAAAAAAATGTCATTAATTCACAAGGAGTTCTTGTTTAGGACATTTAAAGCCCTCAGTGGTGTAAGGACTGTGTCTGTTGAACATCATTATATGCTTCGTTCAGCTGAGACAGGCTTACTTCTAGGGTTGCTAGCATTCAATAAGCCTGGACTGTCCAGGTATTTGGTTAACTGTCCACAAAATGAATTAATGTCCACAGATCAAGCATTTTCATATGTTAGTGTTTCTTATGAAGTTTAAACTGCTCCTTTTTTTCCAGTCAGTTTTTATACAAACAGTGGGATTGATTAGTTCAGATTAACCTCAATGTAGAGACACCTGTTTGGGAAAGGTGCACTGCTGGTAACGTTTTTAAGCAGCACTACAATCAAATAGCTAAATAAGATCAGGTCCTGTAGATGAACTGATGTCTGTCTACCTTAGACTACATTGTGAGCAGAGCTACCTCTCCGCTAAATTTAGTACAAATCAAGCCACTGATTAGGAGTCCTGGAGTTTACAGGGCTGAGGTGGCAAATCTACTCACAGCTCAGTGGGTGGAAGATCATTTTATTGTATAGTTTTCCAGAAAGTATTTGCAGTACGAGCCTGATCACAATTAAAAACATATTTGTTCAAGCTAACATGCACCTGCAGCACTGAGGCTCATTTTCTCTTCTATAATTTCTGTTTCTTAATTTGAACTGTACTGGTTTAGCTTTGAAATGCTTTGTTTATCTTCCTGTATCATTTAAAAAATGCAATACAAATAAAGTTCATGATTATTATTATTATTATTGAAGCACATGCAGACTCAGTAATCACAGAGCAATTCATATGAAAAAACAAACCACCAGGCTGAGATCAAAACCAGAAAACTCTGATCGACAATCAGCAGTGAAATTTTTCACCTGTGCACAGGTAAAGGTAGTGAGGGGAAAAGAAGGGGCGGGGCCTCTGGAGGTCAGCTGAGTGGCAAGCAGCCAATCAGAAGTGCTACATGGCGCAGATAAACAGTCTAGTAAATATAATTTAAATTATTTTTATCTTTGATGTGGTCATTTGTGGTTTTAATGTTGAAGAGGCTCGTTTATATTTATTTAAATGAGGTCTGTTGGACTTCCTGTCTAACCCACTGAGAGTGGCAGTGGAGTCCCTAGCAGAGCTAACAAGAGCTAGCCTGCTAGGGAGCATGCTACTTAGGCTAATGAGTTAGCTTTCTGAGTAAACAGGCTTCTCAAACTGAACATTTCTTCAAGTAGGATGTTCCTGGATCTGTATCACATCTGGAGCAACTTTCCTTTTAACCAGCTACTGCCATCTGCTGTCAGTGTGGCTGCTGCTCCTCCCTGAGACACTTGAAACTCTCAGTAATCTGTAGTTAGCCAAATTTAGCTGAGCCATTGAAGAAGTTCCTCCAAACATGCTATTTTACCGTGAGGTAAAGCAAATGTTACTCATTTTAGTTCTTAGAAGTGGACCATTTCTCAGAACTAAATCTTGATGTATCTTGATTTGTGGAAAATACTGAAGCTGCATACTAGTCAGGCTAGTGAGTTTGGACAGTGAGTTTGGACAGTTGGAGGTATTTGCCAAATCTGTTTAGGTCACTCATTGCTGATACAGCTTTAATCTCTGTAGAAAAGCACTGTCCAGTAGAATGAGACACGCTGGAGCAGCAGCACATGAACCTAAGGTCTCCATGCCCAAAGCCAAGCGTGGGCTAGAGGGGTATAAAGCCCCCCAGCATTGGGAACTGGAACTGCATTCTCTGGAGTGATGGAGCTCCATCCAATATCTTTGGGATGAGTTGGAGTGATCCAGAACTGACCATTCAACATCAGTACCTGACCTCACTAATGCTCAATCAAATCCTCACAGCAATGTTCAACGTCTAGTGTAAAGCCTATTTACCTACCTGTTTAAAATTTAGTTTTTAATCACTGAGCTGAGTCGCCAGAGGGGGTCGCTAAAGATCAGCATTTGGAAAAACAATCGTTTCAGTTCCCAAACCTCTATCAGTGACGTTAAAGAGTAAAAGGCGATATTTTTACTGTGAAGCTGAAGAGGAACAGACTGTAACTGTGCTCTCCTGTGAGGGGAAAGGGGAGGGGCAGGCCCTCTGAAGGTCAGCTGACTGGTGAGTGGCTAATCAATAGACCCGTGTGATGCAGATAACAAATCTAGACAATTTCATTTAAATTTTTATCCTCATGTATCTTCATACATTCAGCATCATCTTGCTGTCTTATTTTGTAAACTTTGTTCTCACATCTCTCCCGTTTAGAAAGAACTGCACTGGCTGCCTGAATCTTATAGGACAGATTTTTGACAGCAGCTCAACAAAATTCTATCCCAATCCAACTGTAGCCCAACAAATGTCCTGTACAAACTTCACCGTACCTTTACTATATTGTGTCCTAACTTAACTGCTGAGTTAAGTGCACTGTTTAAAGTGATGTAATAAAACATAGAGGTTAAGTGGAGAGACTGAAGAGAAATACAAGCACAAGGAATTCCCAGATCATAAAGAATGTGATTCTTCACTGTTTCCTCTTGTTTCCTCTTGTCTGAATTCAGGGCTGTAATTTTTAATTCTAATCAGGATATTTTTGAAATTCTATCTTTATTCCATCTATGCAGTCGGATCCAATGACAGTTTCTGAGTCTTTCACAACCTGTGATAGTGTGGGGCCATGAGGAGGATGGATATATGTGTGGAATCTTTCTATTAGGAATAATTCTTGTTCAGTAAAGTCTGTTAGAGTACTTAATGTCCTAATCTGACTGTAGCTGACAAAATTCTGCCCAAACCCGACTGTATCCCAACAAATTTCCTGTACGAACTTCACTGTAGCTTTACAAAATTCTGTCCTAACTTGGCTGCTGAATTAAGTGAAAAACTAGTGTTTATAGTGATAAAACATAGAGGTTCAGCACAGACGACTGAAGAGGAATCACATAGTGGGTCAGAAGTGAAGTGTGAATGAGTGCAATATGGTATAAATCTAGGTGTTGCCTGAACAGGTGAGTTTTCTGACCGTAGTGGAAAGAACTGAGTGACCGTGCTGTCCAGAATTCATATGGGAAGCTGTTCCACTAAGGGGCGCTAAAGGACACTAAAGCAGAAAGACTGAGTCTTACAGGCATGTTTAGATTTTAAGGAAGGACAAATCAAGAGCCCAGAATTCAGAGACCTAACCTGGCTTGCAGGTGTGTAGTTAAAAACGAAGGTGCAGAGGTAGAGAGACCCTTGAAGATTAGAATGGGAGAACCAGAGCTGTATATCTGATTCTCGCTTCCACAGGAAGAAACTAGAGTGAGAATATTTAAATAATATAACAGAGAAAGACGGAATGTTACAACAAAATATGACGAAGTTCAGTCATCTTTGTTTTATTGTTTCAATTAAAATGTGTTTTATATATTTACTCTTGGTCTCTTCTGTTTTTTCTCATTTAATACACCAATCAGGACCTTCGGCCTTTTAACATGATTTTCACTTTTAATAATAAACAGTGTGATCTGCACTTCATATGAATGCATAACACACACACACACACACACACACACACACACACACACACCTTGTTGATCAGTTTACTGTGATGCAGTAATGTCACCGTTGTCAGATTGGTGCAGATCACTATTATAAAATACTGTATTTTCATACAATCTTCCCTCAAGACAGTTATCCTGTAATGATGATAGAAGTAATAGGTAGTGCTGTTAGCTGTTAGGCTAGCTGAGTGCTGCTGCACACACAGACGATGCAGCATGTCTTCATTCACAGAGCCGCTCTGTTTTATCTTAGTAATGTCACAGTTCTGTCCCGCTCCATTCCCCTCCTGACCCACCTTTTGTACCACTCCATCCAAAAAGCAAACAAATAAACAAACAAACCTTAAATTTATACTGGTTACCCTATCAAAGGTGAGGTAAATTGTGTACATGAGGTAATAATTCATTTTAAATGTTCAGTTTAGAGGGTAAAATACTGGCCTCATTAATCTGAACTTCTTGAAAAATAACAGTTGTATATACGTCGTCACCTTCAGCCCAGAGGAGATTCTGAACAAGAGACAGAAACCAGACTTTCATTATAGAGAAGGACAGACAGACAAATAGAAATAGAGGAGATGTAAGCTGGGTTTTTGCTGATTTTGCATTTACTTACAGAAATCGTCAGGCATTCAGGGGAAGCATCACCTGCAGAGAGTTTCATACATTATATCATTATATCTGTAACGTATTCCAGAAGACACTCAACACATTGATGTTCATATCTGAAATGTTAAATGTTCTTTGAGCTTTGAGCACAAATCTGGAAAAATTGATCAAACTGTGTGGCTTAAAAGGGATTTTAAGTCTTTGGACAAAAAATGTTTCTACTAGCATTTCATATTTCTATAAACTAACAGAATCATCTCTAAACTAACATTAGATATAAAGTAAATTGTGTGCTGAGGGAGATTTACTCCACTGGTCTTCACTTTCTGGATGTTCACTTCTACAGTCCTATTCAGTCTGGATTAGTTTTACCTGAGGAGGTGGGTAATGTAGTTTATACCAGCGTTTCTCAGTGATTTAATCCGAATCTGCATGTCAGTCATTTTTACAGAGTGGACACTTTTACCATTTATAAAACGAGCTGTAGAAACAACATCAGGCTATAGGTGATATTTTGTGGAAAATGAGTTTCTTACTTTTTAAGTATTGAGTCCCTGAAAGAAGTGTTTATTTGTGTTCACTGGGGCTTTGATCAAACTGATGTGTACTTTACTACCTCAAGTGTACAATCAGAACATTAAAACCTAAAATTATTTCATTTATTTGCATAAAATTATTTTATGTGGTGATGTTGACCAATGACACTGTATTCACGTAAGACAGCACGGCAGGTGATTAGGGTGAGCAGAACGTTACATGTAAGCACATATTTTGTTTTGTGTTTGTGTGCATCTCTCTCTCTCTCTCTCTCTCTCTCTCTCTCTCTCTCTTGGTCTCTTCCTTCACAGAAGTACCTGCTCTGGAACCAGTCATGTGAGAACCAATCAGAGGCCTGGCTGGTGCAGTTGGAGGAGGAGCCTGTGTTTTAAAAGAGGCCTTCAAGATGGCTGAAGAGAGAGAGGACTGGTTATGTGTGCAGTTTTAGGCTGTCTTTTTAATCTCGTGTTGGGAGTGCTTTGTTTTAGGTATTTTACCAGTGTTTCTTTTAACTTAGTTTGTAAGACGGTCTTTTATGTTAGAGGAAGTACTTTAGTGGTGGTATTTTACCTGCACACTTTTAACTTTGTTTTACAAGAGACTGTTTGTACCACCTGGGGTTTCAAACAGGTAGAGGGGTGCCTATACATTTGCACCACGTAGATGTCTACTCTGTCTAGCTCCGTAGGTCAGAGGGCACCGCCACATGTGCTTTTGGTTACTGGCAGGGACGTTTAGAGTAGTCAGCTTCTGTTTCTTTATTTAGGTTAGATGAATACTTGTTGTTTCAGAGTAGATAAGCGTGGTTCGGTTTTGATCTGTTCTTTTCTTTGGTGCTGTCCAGTTTGATTCTTCCAGTGTGGTACTAGATATCACAGCACTCTGGTTTTATTGTGGTTTGTTTTAATAAAAATGGCTTCAAAAGCTCTATATTGGTCATTTCCTCACGCTTCTAATCCGTTCTCACCAGTTCAGTATTTTAATGCCACATGTTGCTGATCCCACAGCGCCCTAGACAAAACATGGGGTCATAACACAGAATAACAGCTGAATTAAATGTTTTATGTGTTTTGTACTCGTTTCTGGAGTCAGCAGTGAGTAAATCATGTCGAGATTTCTTACTTCATGTGATTTGGTCGTAAACATTACAGACGTCCTGTGGTAAAATTACATAAACTTCGCCGAGTTGAACAGCTGCCCATCCTGTGCGTTCTGATGCTGCTGCCTTTTCTGCCTCGATCGGGTGCCACTGCTCGCCAGCCCTCTGGACCGGGTTACCAACATTGAGCCTCCTGCTGTACAACGCCGTGCAAACCTCACCCTCACAACCTGACCCTCACAACCTGACCCCACTGATACTACTGCTGTTGCTGCATGAACTATTCAAAATTATTCACTTGAACCAATCAATCATTCAAACTAATTCAAATTAATCAATCACCCATTGACTGTGTTTTTCCTCTCTTTCTTTTGCCGAGTTGAACAGCTGCCCATCCTGCTGCTGATGCTGCTGCCTCTGCTGCCTTGATCGGGTGCCACTGCTCACCGTGCAAACCTCACCCTCACAACCTGACCCCACTGATGCTGCTGCTTCTGCTGCATGAACTGAACTATTCAAATTAATTGTTTCCTTCACGTTTTACCCTGTTTTTGTACTATAATACTTTATACTAACAATGTTTACTATCCGGTGTCGACCAGAGGAGGATGGGTTCCCCTTCTGAGTCCTGGTTCCTCTCAAGGTTTCTTCCTGTTTCTCTTAGGGAGTTTTTCCTTGCCACTGGCGACACTCATGGGGGCTCGGACCCAGATTTCTTTTTGTAATGCTGATTTCCTTGTAAAGCTGCTTTGTGACAACACCTGTTGTAAAAAGCGCTATATAAATAAACTTTACTTACTTACCTCCCCATGGAAAATAATCCTGTCCAGATAGCAGAGATGGGAACAAGTCACTGAGTTGCAAGTAACTAATAAGTCTCAAGTCCTAATCTTCGAGTCCCAAACCAGGCCGTCTGAATTCTTCAGCTAATTTTTAGACTATTTCAACACTGAACACCAAAAATGATGGTAACAGTAACACAGTATTTTAGTGTACGGCTGTATATTGAGGTTACTTTTACCTTTCCAAATAAAATATAAAATCAGTGGTACACAGATTAACATGACAGACATGAGGTACACAGTAGAAATTTTCTCTGTGTAACCAACTCTTTAGACTCTCTGATTGGACCACAAAGCTGCTCTAGAAAGAGTTTCGGCTAAATGCTGTGGTTAATTATGTGATACTGTCAAATTCATTTAATGTTTAAACTTTATATAAACTTTATATAAATACTTAAACGTAGGTCATAGTCTGTACAGACGTTGTGTAAGATGAAATGTTTGTGTTATATTTTTCTTACTTTTAGTCCTTTTTCTCCAGCATGCAGCTCCAATCAGGACTATGAGGATGAAGGAGAACACAGTGCTGACACTGATCAAGGTGAAGTTGGTTCCTGCCAGAGAATGAGAGAGGGGTTACAGGAATGACATTTATGCACATTTCACAGTGAATATGGTAATTAAAGTCACTGTATGCCCTGTGGGTCCGTATCTGATATTGTGACCTTCAAAGCTTTGTCTTGTAGTCTGTATCAGAGTTTTGGACTCACCCATGTTGTCGTAGTGAGGAGCTGGAGTTGATCTCCTGGTGTTGAGGTGCTGGTTAATGTTGAGAGTTAATGGAAAAAGTCCTTTCAGTTTGGAGCCGTTAAACACAGCACACGTCCAGGTTCCCTGACCCGTCTTAAAGTTCCTCAGCTGATGTGGGTTTGGAAAGTTCTCTTTGGTTTCCATGTTGATCCAGTACAGTCGTGTGTTCGGCAGGTGATGAGAAACTTCACACTGTAACGTGACGTCGCCCCCCTCAGTTAGCTGCTGAGGGTCGGCACGAACTGTGGAGCAGAGAGAGACATTTCAGTTCAGTTTTGTGTGTAACGTTAGCACTGACCTGTTTGAGCAATCAGCAATAAGGTTGAACAGAAAGGACGGTTAGGTACCTCTCACCACCACAAGTTCAAAGGAAGTCTTGCGCTGAGATGAACGTTGACATTCATATCTCCCAGAGTCGCCCCAGTTTATACTTGAGATGTTTAAAGAAAAGTCGTTGTCCTTATTTCTGAAATGGAGCCGTTTCCCAAAGTGAGCAGAGTTCAGTCCAAGGGTGAGAGTTTTATCTGAATGGTGGGGTCTCCAGTACCAGGCAGCCCTTAAGGGTGTAGAGAGCAGATTTTTGCAGAAGAGGAAGAGTGAATCTCCCTCACTGGCTCGAAACAAAACCGACTCGTCATTTGATGATGCTGAAATAAACATACAAAGTATTTTGCAGGCATTATTATTATTATTATTATTATTATGTAAATATGTACATAGCTATACAACTGTTTACCATCTTTCAGTTCAAATTTTATATGGTCACTGTGGCAGACATACTCTCCCTTATTCTGAACTTGAAAGTTTTTTATAAGTAGATATTCTGTCCTGTTTAAATTGACTCTCATTGTGTTGCTGGATTGAGGTCCTTCCCAACGATCCTGTCCAGTGCTGGAGGGGCAGCTTAAAGAAACATCATCCCCTGGAGCAATTTGAGTAACTGCTCCTAAAGAGAGACAGAAACAAATGTACTGAAGTAAATTCTGCTCTCCTTTTCACTCACTCTATCCCATCAAATGACAGTCATTTATTAACTCACCACTGAAGACTGTAGATTCACCAACACAAACAATCAGACAGATTAAGAGCCTCGCAGACATTCTGAAAGACAGAGATACGCGAGTCATGCTGCAGTTAGAGGAACATCAGTCTCATATTTCCTGTTATGAGGCGTGTAAAGAGGAGCTTTCTGTCCGAGCATGGTCAGACTCTACTAACATCAGACTGAAGGCGCAAACAAACACAAACCACTGAGATACAAAAAACACAGCAAGTCAGACAGCCATTGGTTCACTGGTAGTTGATGTAACTGTGTAAATTCGAACAATTATAAATATAGTGTATGCTGCGGTTTCAGACACCCGTTAGTGGTGTCTTCACTGGTCATGTGGCTCATAGAAGTGTCGATTTATCTGCTGAGGCGTCTCTATTTTTTGCATCTAGCTTTTCCGTTCTGCTCTGAATCGAAGCCTAAAGCAGTGAATTTGCATTGGGTTATTTTTGAATTCCTGTCCATTCTTCACAATCATGATTCAGTGACAGATTCTCACTGAATCTTTTTATTAGACCAAATCCTGGTTCTCTGAATTCTCCTGTAACAAGCAGTTGGGTGTATTCAGTCTGTTTAGGTCACTGATTGCTGATTCAGCTTTACTCTCTGTAGAAAAGCACTGACCAACAGAACTAACTCTCTCTGTTTTGCTTCCGGTTGAACAGCTGCCCATCCTGTGCCCACTGCTCGCCTGCCTTCTGGACCAGTTTGACCACCATGGAGCTTCTCACTGTATAACGCTGTGCAAACCACACCTGCATGAACTGACCCTCCTGACGATGCTGCTGCGCAGACTCTATTTAATCAGAGCCGTTGCTTCACCTGTTTCTCCCCATTTCTGTATTTTAATATTTTATACTGATGTTAAAACATTATTCTCTGTTGATTTTGCTCGTGTGTTATTGTTTGCTCTCCAGTGTCGACCAGAGGAGGATGGGTTCCCTTTCTGAGTCTTGGTTCCTCTCAGTGGTTCTTGCTCTTAGGGAGTTTTTCCTGCCACTGCTGCCATTGGTGACGCTCACTGGGGCTCAGACCCAGATTCTTCTGTAAAACTGCTTTGTGACAACACCTGTGGTATAAAGTGCAATAGACAGATAGACAGACAGATAGATAGACAGACAGATAGATAGACATTATTAGACAGATAGATAGACAGACAGATAGATAGACAGACAGATAGATAGACATAGATAGACAGACAAACAGATAGATAGACATAGATAGACAGACAAACAGATAGATAGACAGATAGACAGACAGATAGATAGACAGACAGACAGACAGATAGATAGACAGACAGATAGACAGACAGACAGATAGACAGACAGATAGATAGACAGATAGATAGACAGACAGATAGACAGACAGATAGATAGACATAGATAGACAGATAGATAGACAGATAGACAGACAGATAGATAGACATAGATAGACAGACAGACAGATAGATAGACATAGATAGACAGACAAACAGATAGATAGACAGATAGACAGACAGATAGATAGACAGACAGATAGACAGACAGACAGATAGATAGACAGACAGACAGATAGACAGACAGATAGATAGACAGACAGATAAATAGACAGATAGATGAACAGACAGATAGGCAGATAGATACATAGATAGATAGATAGATAAATAGACAGATAGATAAATAGACAGATAAATGGACAGACAGATAGTTAAATAGACAGACAGAAAGACAGACAGACAGACAGATAGATGGATAAATAGATAAAGTTTAAAGCCCCCCAGCATTGGGCTGTGGAGCAGCTGAGCTGTGTTCTCTGGAGTGATGGAGCTCCATCCAATACCTTTGGGATGAGTTGGAGTGATCCAGAACTGACCATCCAAGATCAGTAACTGACCTCACTAATGCTCAATCAAATCCTCACAGCAACGTTCAACATCTAGTGTAAAACAAACTCACTATTAACACCTTAATTTCAGAAAAAACTCCGAAACTCTGACTCTACAGACTTTTATGTCAGATTTATGTTCAGAGCTCTGCTCATGTTATATACTGATAGATGTGAAATACGTTCAAAGAAACGCCGTAATGTGTAAAGTTTAGTGTCAAATTGGTGTTTTGGCGCTGAGTCGCCAGAGGGGGTCGCCAAAGAGCCGCATTTAGAAAAACAAATTTTATCTCCCGGTCATTCAACACTGGTATTAAAGAGTAAAGGTTCATATTTTTCCCTGAAGCTGAGGGTGAACAGGCTGCAGCCGCTCTCACCTGTGCACAGGTAAAGGTGATGAAGGGAAAGGGAAGGGGGCGGGGCCTCTGAAGGTCAGCTGGGAGGCGAGCAGCCAATCAGAAGCGCCGCATGGCGCAGATAAACCCGGTAAACAGGCTGCAGCCGGAGACAGAGGAGCAGCAGGAGGGCTGTTTACATCCAGCGGAGGAGAGTAAAGAGGTGAGTACAGAGGTTTAATCAGGCTGTGACGCAGGAGGAACATGTTTATGTGTTAATAGAGTCTTTATTCTGGAGGCTGAGCGTGTTTATAAGAGTTTATTAGTGTTCTGAAACATGTTAAACAGCTCCAGGCCTGTTTCAGTCAGTCTGAGCTGAAGCAGCACTAATGCAGATTTACAGATGAAGCCTCTTTCAGCTCAGTTTAACACGTTTGAGCTCATGTTTTAGAGGTTATGTGAGCTAAAATGACAGATTTCTAATGAAATATAAGATCTACAGTAAAGCTACAGGACTTTCTGTAAGAACATTTAGTAAATTAAGACAATTATATGGGAGAAAATGCCCTCTTAAAGGGCAATTCCACTGATTTTTTAAATTTTTGGTTGAGAAATAAACAAAGACATTCAGATTGGTTTAATGTGAAATGGTTCATCCATAGAGAAACTTACTTAGATGTCTTTACTGTGGTGGTGGTGGTGATGGGAACCAGACGTCCTGATGTCTGCAATGCAAATGTAGCCAATATATATTTACTGTCCAAAATCTATAGTGAACCTACACATGCTTTGAGTTTATATTTGTGTACTGTCGATGGTAAAATAGTGGTCAGTCTGATAAAATAAGTACATTTTTTCTTTGGGGTCTATTTTGCCTCACAACACCCTTCTTGTATCACTCCACCATAAATTGATTAAAATAAATTGACTAAAATCAATTAATAAAATCAATACAAATAATAAAATAATTTTTAGATCAGGTTTTTTTTTTTTATCACCAAACTACTGTGAAACAAGGTCTCAGGCTTTAGGCAGTGAATTCATAACCATTCCATGTAATAACTTTATGGGAGGGAGCTTTTAGAGGCGTTGAACTCTTCAGACGAACATGAATTAAATAATGACATTATCTAATAATTTGGTAATTATAATTAGTTGTTATCATTATTACTGTTATCATCATAGCAGTAAAAAGCAGTAGCAATTTAAATATGGCAGTAAGAGTCATTTACCTGTTCAGTAAAATGATTATTACACAGAAAAGATCAGGCAGTGATGGAATTTCTGCTGAGCTGTTAAGCTCGTTAACTCAGAATCTCTGATCTCCAATGAGACGCTAACAATTCCAGCTAACGAGCACTACAGCTACTGTTAATGACCGTGAAACTCCAGTAAACAATTTTGTGTCTTTATGATGAAAATCTAAGCAATATTTCCAGGCCAGTCTGATAAAGGGGGTCTTTTGCACCTTGTCTGGGGGACTTTTTACCCCAAAAGGACTAACTTTACATTTTCACCTCTACAACTTATATAATCACTAATCAATAATAATATATCAATAATCAATAATGTAGTATAATAGTACAATGATATAGTCACTGCACAGATCACTCTCACCCAGAATTCAACAGTTTTCTGTGAGAATGAATCTCCAGAACACAGTGATCCAGAAGAAGTTTCAGAATTAGACCAAAGAAATTCAGTAAATGTATCGAGATTAGATTTGATTAGATTCGTCCCCATCAGGAGAGAAAATGAGGGGGTGTACATCTTACACCAGGGGGCGTCTTTCCCCAGAGTGACCCTACTACACACGTATTAGAGTTTACAGTAAGACTTATACTATAGGAATATTATACTAAGTGTAGATTATTATAGAGTACTATAAAAATCTTACAGTGGGGTCCAAAAGTCTGAGACCTCTAAAAATCTATCTGGGATTTTTTTCATTTAAACTTGAAAACAAATAAAAAAAAAAGAAATAAAAAAAAGAAGTTTTGACAAATAAAATGAAGGAATATCTGGAATGCTGCGCTATTTCTGCGTCACAATTCAGACTGAAGCAAATGTGTGAAACTGATGTTGAGGTCTTGTTCATGTTCAGACGACTCTCAGGTGGATTCGATTTGCACGCTGTCATTAAAGCAAAATAGGGACACACCACCAAATACTAAGAAATTCTGAAATGTTAGTTTCAAAGATTCTACTTTTCGCTCCGGTTGTTATGCTGATACTAGAATTTGTAATGAAAAACTTCCCATTAAATCAGAAAAGGATGTAGAATAGAAGCGGTTTCACTGCTGCTCTCAGACTTCTGGACCCCACTGTGTCTGTCTTACTGTAGATCTTTTCTGTCAGTGTAAAGTTACATTAGTTCTGTATCAGATGGTTAATAACTGATGAGTGATGTTGTAATCAGCTCTGTGTTCATGGCTAATCAGTCTAATAAGTTCTAAATGAGTTCTAAATGAGTTCTATGTGTGTGTAGGTAAAGGAAATGGAGGCTCCATCCACCTCACAGCAACATGACCGCAGGCCCAGACCACAGGTGAGTTACTGACTGAAACACTGGTATTAATATTCAGGCTATTATTATAAGTAGTAGTACTAATTTAGATTAAAGTACACTCTAAAAAGATGGTTCTTCAAGGGTTCTTTAGTAAAGACAGTGGTTCTCTATAGGATCATGAACACTCAAGTTCAAGCACAGTGAAGCGGTTCTTCAGATTGATGGAGAATGTGCTGCAAATGGTTCTACAGCACATTCTTCCTCATTCTGAAGAACTGTTTCACTATGTAAAGAACCATTTAATCATGCAAAGGGTTCTTTGAGTGTTCATGGTTCTATATAGAACCATTTTCTTTACTAAAGAACCCTTGAAGAACCATCATTTTAAGAGTGTAGCTACATAAGCTAGATTTTTCTTAATAAATGAAATTCCACTGATTTTTCACAATTTTTCATAACTCATAACATAACAGATGTAATCAGAGAGATTCAGAGAGGTTTGGTGTGAAATGGTTCAGATGTCTTTACAGTGGTGGTGATAGGAACCAGGGGTCGCCATGACTACAACACAGATATAGACATTTTATTTTCTTTCAGGACTATTTTGCCTCATTACATCTTGCATGTATCCCTCCACCATGAATAGATTAATATATATTTTAAGCCAAAATCTTCTCAAAACCATCGTTAAATAATGTCTCAGATATCAGGCAGGAATGTTGATGGTGGTAAAATAGTGGAAAATCTGAAAAATTATATTTCTTTGGGGACTATTTCACCTAAAACAGTGTCTCAGTCATCAGGCAGTGACTTCATAACCATTTCATGTAGTAACTTTCTGTGAGGGAGCTTTTAGAGGTGGACGCCTGGTTCCTATCACCACCACTGTGAACAGTTCTGACTCTAGAACAGAGCATTTCACACCAAACCACTCTGAACGACTCTGTTTACAGCTTAACCATTTAATTATGGAAGGATTTTTAAAAACCTTTTTTAATTACTTAAACAGGTAAATGGATTGGCTGCTGTACAGAAGGTTTGATGGGGTTAAACACTTTATGACAGTGTTTTGTTATTAGCTGTTATTAGCTGATATCTCTGATTGTGCTGCTGGTTGATTTTTGTCTCTTTAGGAAACCACTGGTGGGTTGTGGGATTCGGTGAAAAAGGCTGCTTTCGTCATCGGATCAGGACTGTTCTTCCTCATCGCTTTCCGGAACTCTGTGACATGGTAACAGTTTCCTGTGCAAAGCTTTGAATTCTGTGGATGGATTTTATAGTGATTGTCAATAAATCAGGTTTACCCAATTTTTCCTCCTCCTACCCAAAATCAGCCAAACCATGTTTGGAGTCTAAAATTCTTTAGTTTTAGCACTGGAGCTACGGGGCTAATGTAGCTGACAAATACACTGTTCTGTGCAGGTACATTTTTCATTCATCAAGGTACAAACAGTGTAAATGTTCCCTCAAAGGTACAATATGTAGCCTTGAGGGTTCCACCCCAGTGACTGTTTAGTACCTTTAATTCTGAGAGTGTAATGGAAGTTTATAACCCATCCATTAGCATGGTTCCTAAAGCATCGGCTGCCACAAAGCGTGTGGAGTTTAGTATCTCTAATAGACTTGATTTTGTGGTTTCTGACACTGTATATTAATACTACCAGGACTATTGTTACTAATACTACTACTATTAAAAAGGTACTAAACTGTCGCTGGGGTGGTTCCCTCAAGGCTCCATCTCAGTCCCTTTAGTCAGGGAACATAACTGAACCATAATCCACTGAAATGATATGTTCTAAGCTGTACTGACTCCACACACCCCGTCTCGTCTCCAGGCTTTTATTTTACTGTTCTGTTTAAAACATTCGGTTATGAAAAGGTACAAATACGAACTTTTCACCTGGAAAAACTTATTTAAGGTTCACAATCAGACCTTAAACCCACTGTTGGAGCTTTGAGGGAACATTTACACTGTTTGTACCTTGACGAATGAAAAATGTACCTGAACAGAACCTTTATTTCTAACAGTGTACACTACTACTACTGCTAATAGTAATGATAACAGTAATAAGTAATCTTTATTTATAAAGCACCTTTTTTATACAGGTTGCAGCTCAGAGTGCTAGACGGGTGATAACGTTTAATAACAGTAATAATAGAAAATATGATTGAATGTTATATTTTCTTTAAGGCCATTAATTTGTGGTAGACATGGACTAAAGTACATTAGAATTGCTTATAATGGTAGCAGCGCCTTAGCCTGACTTTTGTCTGTACTTTAGTCCATGTTTATAGATAACAGTGAGTCATACAGAGTCAGAAACCACAGAATCAAGACTATTAGAGACACTGAACAGCTCCACAGTTTGAGATAAGTGATGATTCAGGAATACAGTTGGCACCATGCTAACTGATGGGGTGTAAGCGTCCAGTACCAGCTTTATTGGCCTCGTAGCTCCAGCGCTACAACTAAGTCCTGGCTGATCGACTGCGTTTGGGGAAAGGGGGATTTTTCATGTTTAGTGGTTTAATTACAAATTATGGTTTCTCGTGTTTGAATTGCGGATGCTGGTTGTTTTTAGTTTCACTCTGCCCCTTATTGGAATCATTAGGGGCCGGTTTAGCCCCCGTAGTTGACCTGTGTCAGATTAAATCAAAGCTGTGCGTTGGTTTATTGATCGGCGAGTTTGGCCCTGTTTTCTCTGCTCTGCTTGGTGTCTGAGCTCTCAGAGGTTCAGACTGTTCCTCCATGACTTCTGCATTCAGTGCAGATTCACTGAATCGTGTTATTGATCATGAACAAAAAAAGAAAAGTCAGTAAATCCGCTTCACTGCAGTGGAGCTACTTTTCTAAAGGGGTCTGTAGTAAGGAAAATGGTTCTACATAGAACCATGAACACTCAAAGAACCCTTTGCATGATTAGAAGGGTCTTTGCATGGTGAAATGGTTCTTCAGATTAGTGGAGAATGTGCTATATGGAACCTTTTTAAAAATGGTTCTCTGTCGCACCAAAAGGGTTCTTCTTTGGTGCGACTTTGGTGCACCCTTTTTGGTGCGATAGAGAACCATTTTTAAAAAGGTTCTATATAGAATCATGTACAGCACATTCTTAAGAACGCTTTCACAATGCAAAGAACCATTTAACCATGCAAAGGGTTCTTTGAGTGTCCATGGTTCTATGTAGAACCACTTTGAACATAGTTCTATATAGCACCAAAAAGGTTCTTCTATTGTTACAATGTCAAGATTAAAAGTTTTTTTGCATGGGAAAACTGTTCTTCAGATTGGTGGAGAATATGCTGTATAGAACCTTTTTGAAAATGGTTCTTTAGTAAAGAAAATGGTTCTATATAGAACCATGAGCACTCGAAGAACCATTTGCTTGATTAAAAGGTTCTTTGCATGGTAAAATTGTTCTTCAGATTGGTGGAGAATATGCTGTATAGAATCCTTTTCAAAAAGGTTCTTGACATTGTAACAATAGCAGAACCCTTGTTGGTGCTATATAGAACCATTTTCAAAAAGGTTCTATATAGAATCATACACAGCACATCCTTAAGAACCCTTTCACAATGCAAAGAACCATTTAACCTTGCAAAGGATTCTTTGAATGTTCATGGTTCTGTGTAGAACCATTTTCTTTACTAAAGAACCCTTGAAAAAACGTCATGTTCAAGTGTGTATGGTTCTCCATCAGTCTGAAGAACCATTTTTACCATGCAGAGAACTATAAGTATGCACATGGTTCTTGAATACTCATGGTTCTATGGTATTTAGAACCATCTTTAAGAGTGTAGAAAAACCCTTTCGGTGCCGTACAGAACACATTCTGCATCAATCTGAAGAACCATTTCACCACGCAAAAACATTTAACCATGCAAAGGGTCCTTTGACTCTATATAGAACCATTTCTTTACTCAAGAACCCTTGGGGAACCATCTTTTTAAGAGTGTAGATTAGATATAAATCCAGCTCACAAGCAACGAATAAGAAATGATCTAATTATCTAAAAGTACTGCATTCATTTGATGCCACCTGCCATAACAGTGCCTCCTACAGAGTGAAGACCATCCAGCTTTGAATATCAGTCATATTTTGGCGTAAATATGTAAATCATAGGAATAATAGTTTGTTGTGTGGTTGGATGAATTGAAATGGTTGGTGTAAAAGCCTGTGTTGGTTCTTTAGGCATCTTCAGAGGTTTTGGGGAGCATCTGGAGATTTCTGGCAGACGCAGTGGACCAAGCTTTACGTCGCTTTTAACGGAAACGAGGCAGCCTTGTTCATATTCGGTGAGAACTGGACTAGTGCTGGACTTTGTGTACTTTAATGTGTGATTTCTGTCCATAAACACACTTTAGTTCTCTGTTTGAATCCACAAACACATATGAACACTAATGTCATGGATATGGTCAGTGCTTCTAGTACACTGAACATAGAACAGACCATTTATAGACAACAGCAACAGTAACCAGCGTCCAGTAACTGTATGAACTACACAGTAATAATAATAATAGCTGATGGTGGTTTATTATGGCATCTTATTTTATTAATGTTTAATTTAGTTTGACATCCTGTTAGATTTTTCCTCCCTGTTTCTTCTTAAATGGTTGATTTTAGTATTTTTTAGATGGGAAATTCCTTTTGAAACTGGCTTGTCATTCACTCACTCACATTTAGCAGGGTGAAAATTCACCTCCAGAGGGCGCCAGTTAGCACTGAGTTTTTTGATGCTTTATAAAAAGCGGTGATTCACCTCACTGACACTTTTTGTCTTTATTTAATTGCTGTACTAAGTGTTCAGCCATTTTGCTGGTATAAACTTGCTCACAAACCTTAAAGTAAACTAACTGAGTGATGCACCGGAGTGAGTGAGGGTCAAATGGAACAGATATTTTATGTAGATAAACAGGTCATCTTCTCATGTTCCCATAGCAACATCATCTGTGAATTTTGACAGCAAACATATGTTTCTCCAGATTCACCCTAAAGTCTGTTTTTGTGCCATAAAACTATTTTTCTCATTAAGTGTTTTTGAATACTGAGCTGTACAGAATTCACTCCTGTATTATTTTAATCTCCTCTTGCTGTGTGTAAAATAGCAGCGTTTAGAAGCAGATAAACGGCTCACAGTGAGAGCCAGACGGGCTAAAGTACAGCCTCCCCATGGGGGGGTTAGTTTAACATGCTGTTACACTTAAGGCCCCCAAAGTAAGACCCCAATTCTGCCCCATATACATTCAATACATGCAATTTTACTGGACTCTTTTATGCATAGATCCACAGAAAATGCATTACAGGCATCATGTAAATTTTATATATATATATATATATATATATATATATATATATATATATATATATATATAATTTTGCTCTGATGCTCAAAACAAGGTTTAAGAATAGTAGTGTATGTTCATCTTGCTCGAGTATTTTTAAAATGATTTAGCAAAAAACACTATATTGTTACTGATTTGCCAAATTATTTCAATGCAGTCACTTAATTACATAGTTAATCACGTAACTGCCTAAAGATTTACATTAATACTCTCTTGTATCATGAACAGGTTTAAGTATCGTGGAGTTTGACTCTCGCCGTGTTGCCCGTCCGTAGCTAAAGCATTGCTAACTGTTCTACACTTACAGGTTTTGGGTGGAACAGACTTTTAAACTTCGTCCTATAAAAACTGAACTTTCGCAGAGTTACTCTGAATAACAGTTTAGGAAAAAACATTCGTCCATTCTTCCTCAGCTGAATGGGCGACAGTGTGATGGTCCTCTGGGAGAAGCTGTATCCTCTTCCAGCCACAAAACAAACAACCTGGCCCAGTTTACAATAGATTCAGTGTTATTCAGGTTCACAAAGACCTGAACTCGGTCAGAGAGTGTGCTTTTCTGGACTTTGCCTTTAAAGGTCACTGTTGGTCAGTTTCAGATATGTGGTGTAACAGCTTGATGTCATTAAATTACCCAACATGACTGACTGTCATTACCCAACTCGACTGGAACAGTTAACATGCCCAAAGAACGGCACGCTCATCAAACTTCAGGGCACTCTTATGCAAAAGTTTGGGCACCACCGGTCAAATCACAGGTTTCTTTAATCTTGATAAAATGGAACAAACTTAGTTTCTATTTATTTGTGAAATTGAACTTACTGGAAAAAAACATAAAATGTGGCATGCATACAACTTTCCAAGACAAGGATTAAGCTTAGTCCATTCAGAATGCTGACTAAGATATTATTGTCCATTGACATTGAACTTTGTCTTACACCAACCAGCGCAATAATCATCCAAGAAACTATATATATATATATATATATATATATATATATATATATATATATATATATATATATATATATATATATATATATATATCTCCACAGAGAGAGAGAGAGAGAGACTTAATGCCTGTTAGATTCTTATTTCTTCCAATATGTTAAATTCAATAAATAAACAGTAATTGTACATTACCATGTCCAGAAGTTTGTTCTCTGTAGAGAATGTGTTTCCACATCACATGTAATTTGACCAAAAAGTGTCCAAACTTTTGCATAATGCTCTATTTGGCTCAATTACAATATAATCCATATCATTGTCATTTCCTCATTTTTTTGTTTTATGGCAAAATCTGCTCATGAAAATAGAATAAAAGTGTATAATAAATAAAAATGTTTAATTTATTGGGGAGCTGGCTTAAAAAAGGACAAACAGAAAGAAAGCTGTCACTGTCACCAGCGGATACTGAGCAGCAGTTTATTTTTATTAATTCATTTTTTGTTTGAGAGAATTTATTGATGAGCTTTTTCTGAAATCCGATGTGATAAAGACTCAAATTGAAACCTGGATATTTTATCTGTCCGTTCCAGAACAGCGCAGGAACTGTGTAGTTCTGACTCCAATGTCCATTATATTATTATTTTTATTATTTCTTTGTTATTATTATTATTATACAAAATAACCAGCACTTCCTCCACCTGGGGTCTCGTGAAGCAGAATCTCCTGTATAACCCGCTAACTCTACGCTTAGTTTGATCTAACCCTGAATTTTCTGTCTCCCTTTTTACTGAGCTGTATCACCATGGCAACTTATGCTGCACACCTGACCTGCTCCAGGACAGGTTAGGTTTATGATTTCAGATGATAAACAGCTCCCGGACCAAACAGGGTCGAGCTTTTGTCCAAACAGGGACAGCCTTCTGACCAATGACTGCTGAGCTTCTGAGCGACAGTCATGTAATCAGCCATGGCTGAGCTTCTGAGCTCTGTCTCATTCAGAGACAGCCTTGTGACCGTTCGGGGACAGGCTGTTGACCAATTGGGGAAAGCATTCCGACCAATCGGACACAAGCTTCTGACCGATCATGGACATGTTATTGACCAATTGGGGAAAACATTCTGACCGATCAGGGGTAGACTGTTGACTGATCAGGGAAAGCATTCTGACCAATAAGGGCTGAGCTTTTGGCCAATCAGGGACAGCCTTCTAACCAGTGACTGCTGAGCTTCTGAGCAATTGAGTGGGGAAAGCATTCCGACCAAACGAGGACAGGCTTCTGACCGATTAGGGACAGCATTCTGATGCTGATCCGCTCTAACAGTGCAGCTGTTTGGATGAGACAGACTGAGAGAACATTGTTCTTCTGAAGTTTAATACTCCTCATACACCACAGCAGCGTCACACTGAAAAAAGCAGCCCCACTTACTTTCTCCAAGAGTTTATGGTATCCATGGTGACCAGGCAGAGACTATAATTGGCTTGTATTATAAGTGTATATCAGGTCAACAGATTTTCTGTTCTATAACTTCTGTATCTGGGTTTATACGACCAAAAGAGTCAGAATCAACTTTATGTACTCATCTCTGTGTGTGATCAGGGACTATGCTGGTTCCCACCTTCTCCTTCTGGCTGTTTAATGCATTCCTGATGGTGGTGGATACGACAGGAAAGCCCAGCTTCATCACCCGCTACAGGATCCAGACCGACAAGAACAATCCGGTAGGAATTCTCTCCATCAGCTCTACCTACACGGACTGAGACAGTGTTAGATTCTGATCTTACAGTGATTTGATTAGATTAGATAATGATTCTTTAGGTAACTAATCGGTACATCATTAAAACCCACATTTCACCACAATTTAAGTATTTTGGTACAATTCAGAATTACATCACCATTGTTTTGATTATTGTAATTATTGTTATTATTATCAGAATCTTTATTCACAAGAGAATTTCTCCTAGTGCTGGTTTTACAAAACTGATTATAATATAAGGTTTTTCTTAATAAATGGAATTCCACTGTTTTTTCACCATTTTTTTCATAATTCAGTATTTCAGTTGTAAACAGACTGATTCAGAGTGGTTTGGTGTGAAATGGTTCAGATGTCTTTACAATGGTGGTGATAGGAACCAGGGGTCGCCATGACTACAACACAAATATACACATTTTATTTACTATCCAGAACCACCAGTGAACCTACACGAGTCTTCTGAGTTTATATGGAATGTTGATGATGGAAAATAGTGGAAAATCTGAAATAATAAGTTTTCTTTGGGGACTATTTTGCCTCACAGTGCCCTGCATGTATCCCTCCACCATGAATAGAGTTTACGTTTTCAAAACTATCATAAAACAGTGTCTCAGTCATCAGGCAGTGAATTCATAACCATTCATAACCAACTCAGTTTCTCTAGAGCAGAGCGTTTCACACCAAACCACTCTGAACGAAACCACATCTTAACCACTTAATTGTGGAGGAAGTTGGGAAAAATCTCTGTAATTTCCATTTAAATAACTGCAGTGTGCTGGAAAACACAGACAGGTTGGTGACTGTTGGTGGCTGTTTTTGGTCAAAAATCTGTTTTCCCTCATTTATCTGTGTGCATGTGCAAAGGTCCTGCAGCGTTTGTTTCACAGAAGACAATCAGTTCTGCGGGGATAAGAGCTGTTATTACTGATAGCTGTGTTGTTACAGATAACGGTGTTATTACTGATAAAGAAAACGCTCAGCACGCCGAGTTACTGCACGCTGGTCGATATCTCAGATATAGTCAGGAAATTATAATAAAGGTCAGCGATCTCGTGTGCCATTCACTCACGACAGCCTTTCATATGCTATCGAAGGTCAGATATGGTCTAACTGCACATGCCTTTTACTCCTCACTCCTTCATTTATCCATTATCAGGTAAGAGTTATTGGAGTGCAAGTCATGGGAAACGATTAAACGTTGTTCTGTTCCTGGCTGTCGGGAAGCAGATGGATCATTACAGTCGCTGCTTTTCCACTGCAGTGTACCGGCTCGACTCGACTCGGCTCGACTCGCTTTTGGTACCAGCTACTTTGTTTTCCACTGCAGATACAGCGCCTCCTCAATGTAACCAGTCACCATAGTGTTGCCAAATAAAACTGCCGAGACGTGAAGGAGCCAGTTTTCGTTCAGAAGAGGCTGATGGCAGTGAGACAAAAGACTGCTGAAAAAAACAGCACAGTTGGGAAAATCCATCAGAGTTTAGACGACGAGACGATTCTGGTGCTCAAAGGCGACTCAAGAGGCTACGCTAACCTGGTAGCTAACGTTAGCACAGGTTTTAGCAGTTCTCTCTGACCAATCAGCAGTCTACAGTGTTTTTATCTCACCTTTTGGTGTCGGCTCAGCTCGCTTGGAAGTTGGAACCTCAACTGAGATGGTAGCAAAAAAGTACCAAGTACCAATTTTGCCTAATGGAAAACCCAAAAAGGTCCACCTCCTTGTTTCTACACTCATTGTCCATTTTATCAGCTCCACTGACCAAATAGGAGCACTTTGTAGTTCTACAGTTAGACTGTAGTCCATCTTTGTTAGCCTGTTCTTCAGTGGTCAGGACCCCCATGGACCCTCACAGAGCAGGTACTATTTGGGTGGTGGGTCATTCTCAGCACTGTAGTAACACTGACGTGGTGGTGGTGTGTTAGTGTGTGTTGTGCTGGTCGGAGTGGATCAGACACAGCAGTGCTGCTGGAGTTTTTAAACACTGTGTCCACTCACTGTCCACTCTATTAGACACTCCTACCTTGTCCATCCACCTTGTAGATGTAAAGTCAGAGACGATAGCTCATCTGCTGCTGCACAGTTTGTGTTGGTCATCCTCTAGTCCTTCATCAGTGGTCACAGGATGCTGCCCACAGGACGCTGTTGGCTGGATATTTTTGGTTGGTGGACTATTCTCAGTCCAGCAGTGACACTGAGGTGTTTAAAAACTCCAGCAGCACTGCTGTGTCTGATCCACTCAGACTAGCACAACACACACTAACACACCACCACCACGTCAGTGTTACAGAGAATGATCCACCACCCAAATAGTCCCTGCTCTGTGAGGGTCCATGGGGGTCCTGACCACTGAAGAACAGGGTAAAAGGGGGCTAACAAAGTATCAGAGAAACAGATGGACTACAGTCTGTAACTGTAGAACTACAAAGTGCACCTATATAGTAAGTGGAGCTGATAAAATGGACAATGAGCGTAGAAACAAGGAGGTGGTCAGAATGATTTTTACTATTCTTATTATTAATACAGTATTTGTTTATTATTATTATTATTATTATTAATTTTTGTTTTTTTCTGTATGTATAGATTCTCTGTCTGTTTAAATAAAGAATATAAAAATGTAGAATCAGTGTTTGTGAAACAGAGCAGAGCTGTAACGAAGTGCTCCCCCTGCAGGTGGACCCGGTGAGGCTGCGACAGGCTGTGAAGACGGTTCTGTTTAACCAGGTGTTCCTGTCTGTGCCGCTGGTGGTTCTGACGTTCGTGTTGATGCAGTGGCGCGGAGAACCCTGCGGCCCAGAACTACCCACGTTCCACTGGGTTCTGCTGGAACTGGCCATCTGCGGCCTATTAGAGGAGATAATGTTCTACTACTCACACCGGTCAGCACCGCCACACTCAAACACAGCACCCCCTGCTGGCCGTCTGTGGCTGCGCTCTGTAGCCTTAATGCCTCATCAGTGTGCATGACAATAATAACATGCAATAATTTGCCCAAATTTAAAGGTTAATTAATGACTATAAAAGCTTTGGTAGGAAACACTAATCACTGCACTGAACCTTTAAAGACCTGAAAACAAACAGGTTCTGAAGTGATTTATACGATACAGACCGGAAAGAAGCTCCTCAGTATTCACTCTACATTCATACCCACAGGCTGTTCCACCACCCGACCTTCTACAAGCACATCCACAAGATCCATCACGAGTGGACGGCGCCGGTCGGAGTCGTGTCTCTCTACGCTCATCCGGTCGAACACGTGGTGAGTTTCCCGCTTCGGCTTTTTTGGGAAAAGGATAAAAAAAATGATAATGTACTGTAATTATGTATTTACGGTATATTTTTGTATCTCCCTCGAGATTCAATCACATCTTTGGAAATACGAAGCATTCTAGACATTAGATTTATTAGAACTCCATCCTAAATATTAACTTTATTAGCACTTTATTCTAGATACTAATTTTATTGGAACTCTGTCCTAAATATTAGCTTTGTTAGAACTTTATTCTGGATATTAATTTTATTAGCACTTTGTTCTAGATTTTAATTTTAATAGTAATTAACGCTCTAAATAGGACTTTATTCTAGATATTGATTTTATTAAGCTTTATTCTAGATGTTAATTTTATTAGAACTCCATCCTGGATGTTAGTTTTATTTGAGGTTTATTCTAAATATAAATTTTACTAGCACTTTGTTCTAAATAGTAATTTTATTAGAACTTTTTATATGTTATTTTTATTTTATTCTAGATATTAATTGTATTAGAACCCCATCCCAAATATTCATTTTATTAGAACTCTTTTCTGGATATTATTTTATTAGGACTATGTACTAGATTCTAATTTTATTAGCACTTTATTTTGAATAGTAATTTTATTCGAGCTTTATTCTAGATATTACTTTTATTAGAACTCCATTCTGGATGTTGTTAATGTTTTTTAGTGTTGCCAGTTTGTTCCTCCAAAAAAGTAGTTCCACCACAACCTCAGAGCGAAGTGACTAAGCCTCTCCCTCCCTCTCTCTCTCTCTCTCTCTCTCTCTCTCTCTAGTGCTCTAACATGTTCCCTGCTCTGATTGGTCCTGTTCTGCTCGGTTCTCACCTGGCCACCACCTCTCTGTGGTTCACCATCGCTCTGCTGGTCACAACCGTCTCCCACTGCGGATACCACCTGCCCCTCCTGCCCTCGCCTGAGTTCCACGACTTCCACCACCTCAAGTAACAGACCAACACATTATTTAAAGAAACGGCAGCAGTTAAAAGTTTGGACCCACCTAATATAGATTTTTGTTATACTTATTTCTACTGTTTTACACATTTTATAACAGTGAACATGGAACTAATGCAGTCACCAAAAAAGCTGAACTAATCCAGTTTACGCTGCTCAGAAAGAAGTGCTGACAGTGCTCGTATGTCATACAGTGATGATTAAAGCTGCACTATGTCAGATGTTTCTTGTTAAAACTGAAGGAAGTGCGCGACCGTCTAAGCGTCGCCCCGTCATCATCAGGAGATCACGAGTTTGGTCCCTGGTGATGCTACAGCCGTCCGTAGCCGGGAGTCCGAGAGAGCACAATTGGCCTCGCTCTCTCTGGGTGGGTGGGATGGCCCCTCCTTCTCCCCCCATCACTCACTCAGCGCGATGCTAGTCAGCGCAGGCGTCTGTTAGCTGACGTAACAGATCTGGCGGTTGGCGCTTTCCTCCGAGCGCGTTCAGCTGTCCAGTGACGTTGCGTGAGCGGCAGCTCGAAAAGAAAGCGGTGGTTGGTTTCACAGGTCTCGGAGGAAGCCTGTGCTGCCTTCACCCTCCTAGCGTTGATAGCATCGTGTGATTGGGGGAGTCCTAACCAGCGGGGTGGAATTGGCTACGACTAAATTGGGGAGAAAATCGGGGTAAAAAAAAAAATAAAAATATTGAGCATTTAAAGAGCAAAATGACTTTAAGATTAAGAGGAACACATTTAATGAGGTGGTTTCAAACTTTGACTGGTATTGTATTTATGTTTGTATGTTTGGAGGAGTTTACAGTGAAACTCTTGAGGAAAATCTTGTATTGATTTCCCTGTGTGTGTCTGAAGGCTCTAGTGTAAAGTCCATAAACATAAAGCAGGCAAACATGTTATGCAATTACGTGTGTGATTATATACATACTGCAGTTCACCCATGTCCTGTTTCCTTTACCTACTTACTTACCTTTATCACACTTACACAAGATAGCAGCTGAACAAACGCAGCGCTGCTCCGGTGGGTCGAGCACAACCACACGGGGCTTTAAGAGGCTTTATTCTGATTTATAAAAGCCTTGTTCACCTGTCAGTGCTATACAGACATTAGTTGGGCTGATAATTGATATTACCACAATAATACCACAATAATTTAAACCAAGTGATGAAATTAATGCTCTTTTTTTGTCTTTAATGCGCGACATAAGTATTTTAATCTATTTAATCATTCCTCTACACAACCAGTCTAACAGGGTGACCATATTTTGGTTTCCAAAAAAGAGGACACTGGGGGCTGAAAGGTGGCAGGGGGCAGACGGACACCCACAGTGGGTGGAAGGTTGGGGGGGTTGGTTTCAAGTAATTGGTGGCACCTTGGCAATGTGTATGTGGGGGGCGGAGTTAAATGGTGGATAGATGTGTCCACAAACGTGCAACTGTTCAACTTTAATACATCAACCTTGAGTCTTCAACAAGACAAATATCAGACGACTTCATGGTCCGATAATCTTATTTCTTTTTGCCCTCAACAATGAAATAAAAACAAATTCTAAAATAGTTCAGCTTCTAAAACCTTTTACAGTGAGTGTGTTTACATGCACTTAATAATCCGATAACTGCAGAAAATCAGATTTTGTCAGTAATCCAATCAACGCGTTTACATGAACTTAGGTAATCAGATAATGGGGAAACTCTGGGTCAACATAAGTCAGACAGTAGTCAGATTTCTACTTTACAACCAGCCAATAAACTCACAGAAGAAGACGAGACGTAAATGTAACGTAAAACTCAAACTAAAAAAAACATCAAACCACTTTACCTGAAAATATGAACACACATCATCTAGAAGATGAAGAATATTTAAATCCTTCATTTCGTCAAGCATGTATTTGGTTTCAGCGACGCTCCAAAAGTGTTTTGCTGCGTCTCGCGGCGACGCTGCTGGTTTATTTCCGGTACGGCACATGCTCAAACTGAGAAATCCAAATGAAATCAGAGTAAGAGTTTCCATGCACTGAGAAATCTGATTACTGAGCTGAAATCCAGCCTCTTTATCAGATTTCTAGACCTCACTCCGATCTAATTATGATCGGATTACTGAGTGCGTGTAAACACACTGTTTCTTTTCATGGCTGTAGATTCAAATGAAACAAAAAAAAATTAGTTACCATTACAACTAGTCCAGGGGGGCACAGCTCTGGTCCTGGAGGGCCACTGTCCAGCACAGTTTCCCTGCTCAAACACACCCACTAAAGCTGGCAATTAACACAAGGTGAATCAGGTGCGTTTGAGCAGGTACATCACCAAACTGTGCTGGACGCCGACCCCCCAGGACCGAGCTGTGCAGTCCTGCACCAGACATTTTTCAGTCCTCCAGATGTGCATGTCGTCTCTGCAGAACAGCTTTAAACCATTATAAATGAATCAGGAATATCAGAAGCTGGGCCTGATGGGATTTATGTTAATTCTGTTATTCATAATGAATTTGGATCACAGTTATACTGTGTTTAGCTGTGCTAATGTACTTTAGTCCATGATTATAGAGGACAGTGAGTCATACAGGGTCAGAAACCACAATCAAGTGTATTAGAGACACTGAACAGCTCCACACAGTTTGAGGTGAGTGATGATTTAGGCCTGCAGTTAAGTTAGCACAGGGCTAATTGGTGGGGTATAAGCTTCCATTACTTATTAGCTACATTAGCCAGTGCTAACACTGTATAGAACTGTTTTCTTTACTAAAGAACCCTTGAAGAACCATTTTTAAGAGAGTAAAAGAAAGGCCAGTGCTCCAGTTAAGCAATATTTTGGTGTCCACCCAAAGGAACATGGAGAACCGCTGGATGTTAAGAGTGTTGCGTGTCGTCTGTGCAGAACAGTTTTAAACCGTTATAAATTGATCAGTAATATCAGAAGCTGGGCCTGATGGTATTTGTTAATTCTGTTATTCATACCTGAATTTGGATCACAGTTGTACTGTTTATTGCAGGTAATTGTCTAAGCTACTGTGTTCAGCTATGCCAATGTACTGAACACCTCCACATGCTTTGAGATGAGTGGTGATTTAGGCCTGCAGTCAAGTTAGCACTATGCTAATTGGTGGGGTATAAGCTTCCATTAGCTACGTTAGCCTTGTCGCTCCAGTGCTAAAACTGTGTAGAACCATGTTCTTTACTAAGGAACCTTCAAAGAACCATCTTTAAGAGAGTAAAAGAAAGGCTAGCGCTCCAGTCAAACATTGTTTTGGTTTCCACCCAAAGGAACATGGAGAACCACTGGACGTTAAGCCGTCTGTGCAGAACAGTTTTAAACCATTAAAAATTAATCAGTAATATCAGAAACTGGGCCTGATGGAAGTTAATTGTATTATTCATAACTGAATTTAAATCAGTTATATTGTTTATTGCAGGTAATTGTCTAATGTATTGTGTTTAGCTATGCTAATGTACGTTCATCAATGTTTATAGATGACAGTGCATCATGCAGTGTCAGAAACCACTCTGAGTCTTTTAGAGACACTGAACAGCTGCACATGGTTTGAGATGAGTGATTTAGGCCTGCAGTTAAGTTAGCACTGTGCTAACTGGTGGCGTATAAGCTTCCATTCCTTGTTAGCTACATTAGCCTCATAGCACCAGTGCTAAAACTAAACAAACAAAAGAAGAAACTGAACATTATCAGCTGAACTGTCGCTTTAATCGCTGTCTCTGCAGGTTTAATCAGTGTTATGGGGTCCTGGGGGTGCTGGACAGACTCCACGGGACGGACGATAAGTTCCGCAAGACCAAAGCCTACGAGCGACACACGCTGCTGCTGAGCCTGACGCCGCTCACCGAGAGCATCCCCGACCCCCCCAAAAAATCAGAGTGACCACCGCCGAGGAATTCTACCGGACCAGACTAGAGCTGACACGATCAACACTATCAATTACATGAGCTACATTTCACATACGGATCAGTTTCTCAGAGCCAGATTAGGTTTAAACCTGGACTAAAAAGGCAGTACAATGTTGAAACAACACTGGCACTGCAGTTTAGTCCAAGACTAGACTTAATCCATGTAAGGCAATCCAGTTTAAGTCTAAAAATGCTGCTAACGTTGTTATATAGAACAGCCCAGAGAATGAACACCGACAATAACACTAAAGTACTTATTATTACTTTTATTCTGACTCTAAATCTGAATCTAAAACAAAGATAGCTTTGCTGGACTAAGCATTTTTAAAAAAAATAACTTCAGAGATGCACAGATATGAAATTTCTGGGCTGATATGAGGACCAATAATTTATTGTGGTTGATACTGATATCAGTAGATGATCATTTTAAGTAATTGTTTTAATATAATTAAAAAAAAATTGTTTTAGTTTATGTAGATATTTTTGATTGTTTAGCAGACATGCATTTAGCGTGACATCTAAAATCATTTGCAACTCTTATTTTTGCATTTTCTCGCCCAGGGACTCTTATTGTGGCATTCTCTTTTTTGAGTATAGAAAAGGACAGTCATATCGCCCCCTGCTGTTTATGTTCAAAATGTCAGTTAACACTGAACTGGCGACGTACATTGCAGATGGTACGTTACATGCCGCCGTGTCGCCCCCATGTTCAGTCATGACAAATGATTGAAAGTTTATATCACTGTTTTCAAAAAATGCACTGCAACCCACAACGTTTATCACGCTGATGACATCAGTATCTATGAAGTTTGCAGTTCGATATATTACATTTCAAAAAAGTTTCAGCTTTAAATCCGTTATCAAAAATTTCGCCATGGAGGAATGAATGGAGATCTTTTAAACTCGTATTGAACGTGACCAGCAGAGGGCGCAGTTCTGCACGTTCCTTCTCCATAAACAGTTGTTGTGCCTGAAGAGGGATTCGAACCCTGTTCTCGTGTGCAGGTCTCCACTTCGCGAGTTCAAACGAAGGACACTAAACTATCAGGTCGATATTATTATTTAAAGAACCGTTCCAGGCGAAAACTCGCATTTAATGTTATTTGTTATATTATGTAGCGCAACATTGTATCTCTCAGATTTACAGTTTTGCTTCCTTTTTGTTTTAGTCCATCAGTGTTTTCACTACTATACATACGACAACCACTGGCAGCCCCCGCCCCCCCCACTGCAACAATACAGAAACCCTGACTGTTAGCATAGCCGCAGATGTAGAGCCTAATAAATACAGATGTTTGGCTTTGTAGTGGTAACGTTAGCTATCTGGTCATCTCCTCCATTCGCCAGCTAACGAAAAAAGCTATTTAAAATAGTCCACATTCAAATATTCACCTCAAAGCAGCTGCAGTGGTTCCGAAATTCCTTCTACCTTCAAGTTGCATCATCAGAAGGGGGTTTTAGTCTTTAAAATCTCGCTCTGGTGTTACAGCAGCAGCCCTGTAGGAGGAGACTTAGCACGTTTACAGCAGATCTGTTGATGGTTACATTCTTCATTTCTGGTTTCTGACATTTATCATTATATCAGTGGGAGTGTGTTTACATGCACTCAATAATCCAATCATAATCGGATTTGTGCAGTTATCTGATTATTCAAAAATGGTCATGTAAACACCTGACTCCGATCTAAAAAATCTGATTAAGAAATCTGATAAAGAGGCTGGATTTTAGCTCAGTGATCAGATTTCTCAGTGCTGTAAACTCTTACTCTGATTTCTTTCGGATTTCTCAGTCTGAGCATGTGTGAAAACAGACAGCGGTACTGGAAATAAGCGACTTTTGGAGTGATGCTGCTCGCTTATTTCCGGTACCGCTGTAGGTTTTCGGACAGGCTCAGACTGAGAAATCCGAAAGAAATCAGAGTAAGAGTTTACAGCACTGACAAATCTGATTACTGAAACCAAATACATGCTTGACGAAACGAAGGATTTAAATATTCTTCATCTTCTAGATGGTTTGTTCATATTTTCAGGTAAAGTGGCTCATTGTTTTTAATTAAAAGCTGCAGCATAAAGTTTGAGTTTTACGTTACGTTTACGTCGCATCTTCTTCTGTGAGTTTACTGGCTGGTTGTAAAGCAGACATCCAATTACTGTCTGACTCATGTAGACCTGGAGTTTCCCCATAATCTGCCTGTCCAAGTGCATGTAAACATGCTGATCGGATTACTGACAAAATCTGATTTTCTGCAGTTATCAGATTATTAAGTGCATGTAAACGCTCTCTGTAAGCGCTGTGTCCAGTGTTTCAGTGTGAGACGTCCTTCACCTGCTCTGTATTTCATCATTGTTAAAATGAACGGTCTCCAGCTCGTTACGCCAGACTGAACCGTCTGCTCTCAGCTCCATTTGGCACATTTCAACACAAAAGTTCACGAACTGAAGACTTTTATTGTTTTATTCCGTCTGTATCTCAGTCTCTTCTCTAAACTGCTGCTGTTAATCAGCTCCAGATTAGAGCACATTAAAGTTTACAGCACCACAAACTCTAGAAGATCTGCTCTGTCAGTCTAAACGCTACCAGCAACGTGTTTCATCTGTCTGTTCAATCTGAGGAGGATCTTTCTATATTAACCCGTCCAACAACTACATTCACTGTGATTAAGTAAAATGTGTGCTGATTGGTCTAAAGTGATGAAACTTCGTACAGTTATGTCTTTAATGAACCTCTAACACTACATGATTGAGTGTTTTTAGTTTCACAAAGTTGAATTTTCTTTTGTTTTGGTAAACATCTGGAGCCCCACGTGACCAAAAGATACTCAATTTTCAGCTGTATGGTTTGTTCAGTTTTTAAACATTTTCCTTTTAGTTTAGAGAAAATAAACCACAGACACATTTCAGACATTAAAGGGTTAAATATTTCTCAATCTCAGATTTAAAGATACTGAATGTCTTTAACCGTGTTTTAATGCACTGCTGTTGAAAGTATTAATAAATAATAATTGCATACAAAAGCATTTCTGTGTGTTTGATGTTTTGTTCTAAATGTTTAAGGTATTAGAGCCGGAGTGACACACAGGGAGCACGATCAGCGAATTATTAATTTAAGTGAACTGGTTAATTATGTAATTATATATAGAGCCATCAACACTCAAAGAATCTTGCATATCAATGACCCAAAACAGAAGGATATACATGCTTATAGCCAATAGAACTTTATTTATATATATATATATATATATATATATATATATATATAAATAAAACTTTATGTATGTATGTATGTATTGTTTGTGTACACATTTTTTATATATATATATATATATATATATATATATATATATATACACACACACACACACACACACACACACACACACACACATACATACGCACACACAATTCACTTCAAATTAATGTTTTACACTACATATGGTCTGATATGTACTGGAGAATGATATGTAAGGGAGAAACACTTTTGAGCACAGCAAAGATGTGACTTCTATTTAGTAATATTTGAGATAGAACTTGTAAAATGACTGATAAAAAATAGACATTGCTGGTAGTTAAGATAAATAATTTTTAATAAAATTCGAAATAAAAGAATCATTTACACCTGCAACAGTATCTCCTTTTTTGTTTTTTATTTTCTGATGACATTTATTTCTACTCTTATACTTTAACCTATGTCTATTTTTTGTCTATTGTTTTCAGCCTAATGTATGGAAGTTTATGTGCAGTTATACGTCTTGCTACTGAAACACTGCAATTTCCCTTCGGGATCAATAAAGTTCTATCAATCTACCTACCTACCTATCAATCCATCTATCCACCCATCTACCTACCTATCAATCCATCTATCCACCCATCTACCTACCTATCTATCCACCTATCAACCAACCTACCTATCAATCCATCTATCCATGAACCTATCTACCTATCAATCCATCTATCCATGAACCTATCTACCCATCAATCCATCTGTCCATCTACCTACCTATCAATCCATCCACCTATCAATCTATCTATCCAACTGTCCATCTACCTACCTACCTACCTATCAATCCATCTACCTGTCAATCTACCTATCCACCTATTTACCTACCTACATATCCACCTATCCATCCAACTATCCATCTATCTACCTATCTATGTACCTACCCATCCAACCATCCATCCGAGCACAGCCACTGTCTTTGACATTGTGTGAAAATTTCATGATTCTGCCAGTAGAAATGCAGCAAAATCGCTTGGAATTAAATCTCTTTACATTAACTTACATTGAAAGTAAAGAACGTTTCCTCTCCTTTAAAGTTGCCATTTTGAAGATACTTTGTTTTTGTTGGACGCCGACGATGTTTAAGCTTTTTGTCTCATCGTGTTCTGGATTCAAACACTTTTTACATGTAACGACTCAGTTACTGTGTTTATCTATGCTAATGTCCTTCAGTCCATGTTCATAGATCACAGAGAGCCATACAGAGTCAGAAACCACAAAATCAGGTCTATTAGAGATTCTGAACACACTGAGTTGAATGTGGCGATTTAGGCATCATGCTAATTGGTGGGACATAAGCTTCCATTATTGTTAGCTACATTAGCCTCGTAGCTCCAGTGCGAAAACTAAAGAAGCAAACTTCAGACTCCAAACACGTCTCGGCTGATCGACTCAGGGTGGGTTAAGAGGGACGAAATGGTGTGAATCCGACTGAAGCATCGCTTTAAGAGAAACAGTAAACAGCATTTCCTGAAGAAACAACAGCAAAACAAACAATCCTTTAACAGACACACGGAGGAAGGAACGAGTCTGAGAGCTGCTGTTTAAGGTTTTTTTGTCCATTTTATATATTTTTTTATTCATTAAGGAAAAGCATAATTACTACAAATTACAAATGACACTAATAGCGAATCACATCAGCCTACAAAGCAGATATCATGATATTAAATGTTATACAAGTTCTCATTCAAGTATTTTACATTTTCCGTTTTATCTTTTTTTTGTTCTTTTTTTCTTCATTTTTCACAAGCCCAAGAGAATATTATGGTAGTGAACTATTAACATTTCTTTTTTTTCCTCATTTTTTTTTTTAGATATCCTTACACAGCTGTTGTATTTCTATGGCTTTATGGAATCTGTCCTGGTTTTTCCCCTCAGACTGTCTGAGCTCCAACACTGAGGCCAATGAGAGAGAAACGGCGCCCCCTGCAGGAAAAGGCAGGTAATCTTGCCCTTTCGCTCAGGCTATTGGTCCATTAGCAGCAGGAGAAGAAGCAGCTCACTGGTGGAAAAGAACAGCCTGGGGAAACAACAGAGGAGGCTTTTCTGTTTGTTGCGTTGCCTGTCTTTGAGTAAACGACTCTTTTAGTAACGTCATTAAAAGTTCTCTATCAGCTTCCCCAAATTTAACCATTGCTCCCTAAAACAAAAAAATAAACCTCTCAACTAGCTCTGCTTTTTCAACCACTGTGGTTAAAGTAAAACAAAAACAAAACTAAACATTAAGAGATTAAAACTACACGGCCTGACATCGTTTCGGGATTCCACTTCAACGATAATCTCACGCTTTACACAGGGGGGCTCGCACCATGAGCCGAAATTCAGAACCAGAAAATCAGTCTCTAATTTACAATGGAAAATACATCTGTGATTGAAAGTGGCTCATGATGCAAATCATTTTTTATACTGTCCAAAAGCTGCTCGGCATAAACGCCGAACGGCTGGTTTACTCAGTGAAGTCTGTCGTTTTTCTGTCGTCCATAATGCCAGAATTCCTGCAGTTATTTTTCCCTTTACTCGCGCTGTGGTGATGTTCCCCTTACCTAAATAATGTGACACTGAAACATTTTCTTAGCATCGCTACAACACAGCATCAAATTAAAAAGCATTAAAAAGTTTATCAGGGACAATAAAAAAAATATAGTACGTACACGTGTAAGGCAAATATATAATCTGTTCTTTAACCAATGAGTTCAACAGAGGCATGTGGTGTTTCTCTTCAATTCACACAACCAGCAAGAAAACTGCAAAGATGTGTCTGATACTTGTTCTATTCGACTAAAGGTGGCGCCGTGTTTCCCAGCTGTGTTGAGGATTATTAGATTGAAGCATGAGTCAATCGTGGCCAATCCAGCCTGGACCAATAAGCCTAGACTAATCCAGCATGGACTAATCCAGTCTGGACCAATCACCCTGGGCCAATCAGCATGGGCCAAATACAGGTTGGGCCAAATCCAGGCTGGGCCAATCAGCATGGACTAATCCAGCCAGGGCCAGTCCAACCTGGACCAATCAGCATGGATCCAATCCAGTTTGGATGAGTCAGCCTGTGTCAGACCAGTTTGGATCAGTCCAGCCTGGGCTAATCCAGTGTGGATCAATCAGAATAGCTAATCCAGCCTAGGCTAAACCAGTTTGGATGAGTCAGCCTGGGCCAGTTCGGCCTTGACCAATCCAGCCTGGGCCACTGAGTTTGGGCTAATCCAGCCTGGGCCAGTTCAGCCTTGACCAATCCAGCCTGGGCCACTGAGTTTGGGCTAATCCAGCCAGGGCCAATCAGGCTAAAAGCTCTCCACATCCTCAAAAACAGGGTCCCAGGTCAGTCGATAACCTTGAGCTGTGCGCTTTTTAAAGTCTATATTTTATTATTATTTCTCCTCCGTCATGCTCGTCACTGTAGTCCGTGTGTATTTGTCCCGTGTCTCACATCACGTCCAAAAGCACCAGCAGCTCCACCAGATTCACTGTGAAAGCCTTTTTTTTTTTCCTCCTCTTCACTCGTTCTTCAAGTAATCGGGATTAATTCCAGTCCTTGAAGCGTCTGAATGATGATGATGATGAAAGAATGAAAAACTGCTCACAGTCCTCGAGGCAGAATGATCTTAGCACAAAGAACCACAAGCACACCCAGGTTAAGAAGCTTCTGTAACAGACCATGTGACGCTTTGGAAGACGATAAAGAAGGTGAAGTGAGAGAACACTGGCGGCAGGGCTGGGGGCTGGGGGCGAGGGGGGGTGTGGCGTCTGTGTAAGATGGAGGTTTGCATAATCGCAGTTTTAAATGCTGTACAATCGACGGTTAAGGTGGCCGGCGCAAGTTAAGCAGAGAAAAAAAACCCATTAAAATAAGGCAACTTTCAATGATCTCGCTCAGACTGAGGGATGGCCAACGAGTCCAGGTTCTAGAAGAGTTCTCTTTTCATTTTGGCCCTTTCTGCAGATCCTGTCTAGTCAAAGTCAACTGTTCTCCAAGCAGAAGTTTCCAACCCACTGGAGGAGAAAATCAGCCATCTTTCAGCCAATCACACGGGGTCAGATGAGGGGGATAATAAAAATAATGAAAAAACCATGGGGCCACTGACGATGCTGCGGTCCATCCAGCTACGGCACCACAGGGAAATAAAATAAGGTGTAGAGGGGAAAAGAAAAAAGGTAATAATAATAATTATTATTATAATAAAAATTAAGAACGGAACAATTTCTTATCCCTTCAGTAGTCTCTCGGTCTCAAACCAAAACAAGGGCTTTCGGATGTAAAAGTGGGGAGAAAAAACCAAAACAAAACAAAAAATAAAAAAACCAAAACAATAATAATGGAAGAGCCTTGATTTTGTTTTTTTTCACAAGCCATTTGTCAGAGTTTTTCATGCTTGCGGTGCCGGTTGGACCCCGTGGTCAGAGGGATTGTGGGTAGTGGGCGGTTGGGTTGGCGGTTACTTTGGTGGCTTTGTGTCGGCGGCTCTCTGGCTGGCGTTTTTGGCCTCGTCTCTGGGGGGCGCTGAAGGACCAGCGGCGCCCTGGCTGTGGGTCCGGCCAGAGGGGTGCCGACGACGTCCATCTCCACCGGAGAGCCTCTTATGACCACCATCCTCTATAGGGGGCTGCAGAGAGGACAAAACAACATTCAGTCGCTGAGGACAGTGTAGGTCAAGGGTGACCAGTCTTATCTGCAAAGGGCCAGTTTGGCTGCAGGTTTTAAATGATCCAAACAAGCAGCAGCTCACCGGATTCTACTTGTTTAATCAACTGGTCAGTCTTCAAACCACTGACCATGTGAGCTCCTGCTTTTTGGAATTAAAACCTACAGCCACGCTGGCCCTTTGTGGAGAAGACTGGACACCCTGCAGGGGTTTAACACATTATACACACATTTTCAGGTTCAATTCTGAGGCCAAATTGATTTCCAGGTTTGGTCTATTCCAGTAAAGCAAGAGATCAAGGGGCTTATAGGCATTCCAGTCTCATCTTGACACAATGTTTAGTTTTGTCTTCAACACAAATGGACCAGTAGAAAACTGCTTAGAATAATTAAAAAAATAAATACAAATTAAAAAAAAAAATAAAATTATCAGCTGTTCTAATATTGTTGGACCTGCTTTGATACGACTGATGAAAACATTCTTTTAGGAGTCTCTCAAAGAACAGGGTGGCATCGAAGGAACTGCACTAACGTGGTTTGCATTCTCTCTAAAAGATTAAACTCGTCCAGTAAAGACTAGAAATTTCTCTTTTTTTCCCTCCACAACATCCATTACCTGTGGTGTACCACAAGGTTCTATTCTAGGGCCAATTTTATTCTTTCTATATGTGCTCCTGTAAAGTTCCATCTATCAAAAACAAAACCTTTTTTATTTATTTTATGATACACAGCTGTAACTCCCACTGATGAGTAAGACAGGGATCGTGCCTTCTCCGTCTTGGTTCCAATCCTGTGGAACATCCATCGGGTTCTCTTGTACTCAGCACTTACATTTCACCTGAAGACTCATCTTTTCTGGTCCGTCTCTCAAACTAATATTTTTAGTCTATGTCTTTGCAGTTATACTGCTCTGTTTACCCGTCTCATTATGTTCTTCATTCCCTTTTCATATTTATTTGGCACTTATTTAACCTTTCTGGATATTTACCTACGTTATCTATAGCATTGCTTGATTAGCTTTTACTTTAATGACCACACAGCAAACTGGCCAACAATTCGTTGCTGTCGGAACAAAACCTCCTCTATTTTTGTCGTTTTTCAGTTTTTGACATAATTTGAAAATGCCTGTTGTCCTTTATAATGGGTGCAAATTTCACCATCAATGGACCAAAATAAACGGCCCAAAATTACTCAGAAAAAAGTCTGGTTCCATTGACTTACATTAAAAGTAAAGCAGGTTTTTTCCCTCTCCTGTAAAGTTACCATTCTGGAAATACAAGGTTTTGTTCCGACAGCAGCAACATGTTGATTTAACGTGTGCTTTACAAATAAATCTGTGAGCTTCTGCATTTAATGACGTTTCCCCAAGCCGCAATTCAAAAGGCTCACGTTAATCTCTCCTCTCGCACACTTACATCCACTCTGAAGTCTTCTAGACGTCTGAATTTGCTTAAGCACTCCTGCAGCTTGGGGTCGATCTCCAAGGTCTTTGCCTTGGAATACTTGAGAAATGCCCAGAACTTCTCAAGTCCGTACAGCTGACCTGTGAAGATGGAAAACAAACAAGATGACGAACAGAATCAGCTTAAAGTGCCACGTTTTACTGACAGAACCTCTATAATGCACTGGTTGCATTAGTTAGTCCTGTTTCTGCTGATCTGTGAGGTTTCCTACCTGCTTCATAGTCCCTCATGGTCTCCTCCTGGAAGTCTTTAAATATATCCGGCCTAAACTTTCTCTCCAAACCGTAGCTGTAATACCTGAAGAGACACTCCAGACCGTATCTGGGAAAGACAAAACCTCAACATTATTAAAAAGACCTTGAGCACATTTGAGGCTGTGTTAAATTGATAATTATATGCCTGTAATAATTCAAAATTTAGTGACTAGTTCAGAATTGAATCAGAATGGTAAACATCTGACAAAGAAAGAGCATGAAATAAGAACAGGTTCACATTGTGATTTAACACCTATATAAAAAAACAAACAAACAAAAAAATCCCCCAGTTTGCCTCCTTTACCCAAGATGTTCATCAGCCAAGACATGTTCGTTGTTTTGTTACAAGGCTAAAATGTTTAAACCGCACCTTTCAGCATTGAGTGACCTCAAACAGACTTGCTAGTGTGGTTGACACTGTATTACAAGCTTTTTCCATTTTTATAGGTAACAGTATGTAACATAGTGGAAAATAGGGCTGGGCAATATAACGATATATCTCACTATCATGATAAATTATGTCACAATACAATACAGTATGCTTTTCTGAACATACTGTTTATATCGTCAGTTCTTACAGAGCACTGACCTACTGCATGCTTCATTAAAAAGAGAGCAAAATTAGTCCCGTTTAACTGGATTTAGTACCAAACAGAATAAAAATCACATTCAAGCATTCAGTTTTTGATTGTGTTTTTTTTTAATGTAGCACTACTGGTTCTTTTTTCTCTGTTCCAACTGATCAGATGTCTAAAAAGATTAATATTGTTAGATATCGAGTATCATGAACATTTCTTGAAGTATTGCGATACTATATTTCGGCCATATCGCCCAGCTCAAAACATAACATGTAAAATGATAGTGGCTAAAATTACTGTTTATCAGACTTTTTAGTTTATTAAAACTGATATCGGTGACCTTTTTCATATTGGTTGGGTGCTACACTTAAGCCCAATCCCATTTCACCCCTCGCCCCACCACTTAACCCCGAGTTCTCGTCTAGGGGTAGAGTGTTCAGATTTTTGTGGAGATAGAGGTGTAGGGCAAAGGTTCACTCCAAACAGAGTGTTAAGAGGAAAAAAAAAGAAAAAAAACAGTAAGATGGCTGAATAAGAGACCAAAGAAACCCACAAATGTGAGAATTTTCTCTTAACAAAATGATGAAAACCACTGTATTAACCTAGTTTAATGTTGTTTGTGTATTATGGTCCTTTTCTTCATAACAAACAAAAAAATCACTAGTAGTTGCTGATGTCTGGGTAGGTAGCTAGCCAAGTTTCCCATTCCACCTTAAGTGGTGTAGCAGTAACATTTTCGCACCTCAGGCATCAGAACTGCTGAACCATTTAAGGTGGAACTGGAAAATTCGAACAAGAAGCTGGAGAATAGCTGACTTCAGCTTCATATCACAGAAGAATTAGGGGTGATAAAGTAGATAATAGTAGTAGTGAATGATGTACAGTAATCACTGAGTAATTTCTAGTAGATGGAGTAATTTGGAGTAGATACTAAATAATTCATAGCAGATACCGAATAATTCCTGGTAGACACTGGAAAACCTAGAGTAACTTTTCAAAAGTGTATAGTAGTGAAGAATTCATAGTCTCTGATTAGTTTATATTAGTTTCGGAATAATTCTTAGTTAATTCTGTGTAATTCAGAGCTGTTACTGAATGAGTTTTGAGATTAGTCACTGATTAATAAGCCTCAGAAAGCAGCCGTCATGTAGCTTCATTAGTCCTGTAGCTCCAGGACAAAACTAAAAGAGCAAACTTCAGACACCAAACCCCTCAGCGCTCTGTTTACAGACGCCTGTACCTGTATCCTTCCTTTCCATCCTCAATGGCCAGCTGCCTGAACTCCTCGTACATCTTCCTGTTGAAGTGATCCCGCAGGAAAAATGACCAGAAGCGGAAGAGCGTGTTCATCTCCTGAGACTGACCGATACCCAGACGCTTTCGTTCTGCAGGAAGAGATGAAGAGCAGGTTCAGGATTAGCTTTGGTGCGAGTTCAGCAGAAGAGGAGAAGAGATAAGGGATAAAGCTCTGACGATGCCGTACCGTTGAGGCAGCGCCGGCGGTATTTGTGGTAGACGTGTTGGGTGAAGCCGTTCTCCTTCAGCAGCTCGTGGGAGGGGTGCTGGAATTTGGGCAGAGATTGGGGGGTGCAGCCGAAATTACTCAGCGCGGGGGTGCCTTCTGACGGACTGGCGTTAGAACTGCAGCAGAGAGAGGGAATAAAGTTAAACTCACTCTGAGGTTCATCACTGACTCAGCACATCCTTAAACATCTCATTTTCCATTTGCAGTAAATTTGTTAGGAAATTTAAGTTTTTTTTCAGTTTTCAATCATCTTTATGTTATTTTATGTTTTAAATAGTCCGATGTTATTTTCCATTTTTCATGTGTTTTGTTTCTTTTCGTTTTTCTTTTATTTTTCCTTCGTGTTTTGTGTGACGTGTTCCATTGATTGTTACTGACTATTTTGTAATGTATCGTCTACTGGACGCCAGGAGGAATAGTGGCTATCAAGACAGCAGCTAATGGGGATCCTAAAAAAATAATAAATAAATGTGTATATATATATATATATATATATATATATATATATATATATATATATATATATATATATATAATGTCAACCTTTGCCAAAAATGTAAACTCAAAAAAAATGATCGACATTAAAAGATACATCAAAGTGAATTAAAACTAAAGTAAATGTAAAATGTGTCGTTCTGACTGCAGTGATGGACCTCATCGGTTAAATGATCAGCTCAGAGGAGGAAAATAAAGAGACTAACAGGTTAAAGATGCTACAGTGAGGTTAAGAGGATGTTACATTATATTTTGAGTTATTCTATTTTTCTATATGGCCTTTGCTGTGAGGATTTGATTGAGCATTAGTGAGGTCAGGTACTGATGTTGGATGGTCAGCTCTGGATCTCTCCAGCTCATCCCAAAGGTATTGGATGGAGCTCCATCACTCCAGATAACACAGTTCCACTGCTCCACATCCCAATGCGGGGGGGGCTTTATACCCCTCTAGCCCACGCTTGGCATTGGACATGGGGACCTCAGGCTCATGTGTGGTCCCATTCTTTTGGACAGTGAGAGTGACGTCCAGCTGGCTGTGGTACGTGTGCGTACCTGACTGATGCTGTGCGTGAACGATGTTCTCTTGAGTCCATCACCCAGCCCACGTGACACTCCATCGGCGGGTTCGAGCTGTGCCTCGTCTTCCTCTTACGTGGCGTCTGGCACAAATGTAAACAAAGACGGTAAACAATCACATTAACCCCTAGAACACCAGGGGCGTATCAGACAGCATCTACTACGAATTATTCAGCATCAACACTAATTATTCAGTGAATACTACAAATAAATACACAACTACTATAAAGGCAGAACTTAATATATAACAATAACTATACAGCTGTAACATACAGATCCTTAGAGTTTAATAGGATAAACAAAACCCAACATTAAACTGATTGATCAATGACTTGTCACCAATAACAACTTTAAGGAGCTAAAAAGTCTGAGATGGATAAATATGAAATACTGGCTGATATAATTTTATAATCAGTTTTAGTTTACTCAGACTTCAATTATTAAAAACCTGCAAAAATCAACATAAAAACAGGCAAATAAAGATGAACTCTACAGGTAAATAATGAATTATTAAACTAAAAAAATTTATATTTTATATATATATATATATATATATATATATATATATATATATATATATATATATATATATATAATTATTTTTTGTTTTTTTTTAGTTTCTACCTCCAAACTACGGCAGTCCGGCAAGGCCATGAGCAGCTGCCATAGTTTTCTTCATTGTTATCTTGGGATAACAAGTTAATTATCTTGTGATCTCAAGTTAACAACTTTGATTAGTATCTTGAGATTACAAGATACATTATCTCAAGATACGTTTTTCTATCTTGAGATCACAAGACAACCTATGTTGTCTTATGCTGATATCACAAGACATTAACTGATGATCTCGGGATAACTTTTGTCATCTTGAGACCACCAGATATGTAACTTGTTATTTCAAGACAACAATCCAGAAAATTCTAACTACCTCATGGTCTCTCCGGACTTCCGTACCAAAGAATATCTTGACGCTTCTCAACAAATTACCAATTAAAAAAGTTTAAAAGGTTAAAAAAACACAAGTTAAAAATATTAAGAAATGAAGCTGTTCAAACTGTTTTCTTATAAAAATTATTACAGGAATGAAAAAATATCAGCGTGCAAGAAGTTATGAATGTGTTAGATGAAGGACAAGCAGCACTGAAGCACATCAAAATTTCATTACTGTCAACACATTTATTTTAACACCTTTGCACTGATTTTCTTTGTAAAATAATCTAATTTTGACACTTTTGGATTTGAGTAAATAAACTCCACATTTTAGTCCCACTGTACAAAGGATGCGTCACCTTGGCGTCAACAGGTCGCCCCTCCTTGACGACGGGGTAGAAGCGCGGTGTGTGTGTGGGGTCTCTGAGGTGGGGCGTGCGGGGCGTGCGAGGTGTGCGGGCGCTGCGGTAGCTCGGAGAGTCGGGCACGGCGGTGGGCAGCGAGCGGGCGATTGTCGACGGCTCTGGAGCTCCAAATAGCTTATTGGCCAGAGCGTCTGTGGGGACTGAGGATTAAAAAGAAATTACAAATTAGAAATTAAACTGCAGTACTGACAAATACGAACAGGCAGAGTGTGGGAGAAAGAGAAAGGGAGAAACAGGGAGAAACAGGGAGAAACAGGGAGAAATAGGGAGAAACAGGGAGAAACAGGGAGAAATAGGGAGAAATAGGGAGAAAGGCTATTTTAAACACCAAAGCTCTACTATACATTAATCTTCCTGTAACAAATTATTATTCAAATAAAATGGCTTATTACTTTTAAAATACATAAAACTTTTTGCTTATTACTTGACAAAAAGGTAATTAGTCATTATTATCATTATTAAAAATAGCTTTGATAATAATGATAATAAAAGGGGGGCAATGTGCTGCTATTTTATCATTATCGTGATAAACATGGTTTACTGTGATATGCTGTTCTGAGCACTGTGTATATCCATAAGTACTTAAAAGAACATCAAACAACTGCAAGTTTCTTTCAGAATTAAGCTCAATTAGTCCTGTTTAATTCAGTTCAACACAACATAATATATGAAATGTTGAATAAAAGTTTTTTGATGGCAATTTTTTACACTATTAGTGCATTTTGTCTAAATAAATAAATAAATCATCCTCTAAATATGTCTTTACGTATCATGACACGCTATTTTTTCATATCACTCACCTCCAGAACAGCACTTTTGTTATTTTAAATAATACAATAAAATGGATTAAATAAAGCCCACTCACTGTGCTGCGGCCGCGGGGGTCCGGGGGGCACCTCCTGATTCGGATCGACCGGAGGCTCCGGGGTCAGACAGTCAAACTGCTCACGGCTGATCAGGTGGACCTTCTTGAAGTTCTCCACCTCTTGCTGCTCCCACAAACACAAACACTTCAGTTAAAAACCCTATAATCGAACATCCTCAGACATGTCGATATTCATTAATAAATTAATTTATTATGGATTTCTTATTAATTTATCCTGCTTGAACATATAAATGACCCTATCAGAAGGCATTTAAAGTGATAGTCCACCAAAAAAATCAAATTTACCACAAATGCAGTCATCAAAACAATGTTTGGTTTAGTTTTAGCACTGGAGCTATAGGGCTAATGTAGATAGCAAGTAATGGAAGATAATACCCCACCAGACAGGATCACACCTGAAGTTCAGTCTCAGTAATAGACTTGATTATATGGTTTCTGACACTACACACAACTGTTATCTGTAAATATGGACTAAAGTGTGAACAAAACTACCACTAACTACCACTTTAAGGATTGAAATGTGGAATTAGGAGCCGTCGGGAGAAGCAATTAGTAAAATTCATTCTTCATCAATAACATTTTCTCTTCTGTTTCTCTCCTGCAACATCAAAACTTCCACAGTTTCAAGCCTTAAATATCACAAACACTAAACGTTCAAGCTTTTTTTACAAGCATATCTTTCACGAATTTGAACAGTAAAGAAATCTCACCCCCTGTAAAGTTACTACCACCAATCTGTGCGGCTCCATTATCCCCCAAAAACCCCCCAAGAACAGGCCGAGCGGTCCGCGTGGGGTTTATTTATCAACACGCCAGCCCCCCGGCACGTGAAACGGCACAAAGAACGGCAGCACAAAAGGCAACAACGGCCGCGCAGGACCGTCCAGAAACAGAAACAGCCAAAGGCCAGGCCTTTCCCAGCCCAGAAACAAACCACAGAACCTGGAACGTGTTAGAACGACCCACTTAAAGAACATTAAAGCCAATTAAAAGGAGTTAGCTTAGCCATACGTTTACTGCTGTATGTTCTAGCGCCCACATTTACCACTGAAATCCCACTGTGGGCCACTTTCAAGGGCTTTCCAGCCTCAACAGAGAGCCAGAGTAGTTCACAAACTGCACTTTACAGGCCTTTATAGGACATTCAAGACGAAACTGATACAGAATTCTCCATTAGGAAGGCATGAAAATGAGAAAATTTTATTTTATTCATGGGAAAACTCACAAATCCATAAACATTTAACGATATTTTGCCTGTTGATTTTAATTTCACTCATTAATTATGGACAAAGGGGGTCCAGATCCAGTTTTCTTGTCCCCAAATCCACTCAAAGTCCTTTAATGTTCACTATCGGCTGATCCTGAGCTGATATCCGATCTCTGTTTTATAATAAAGTCACTGTTCAGGTAAGACAAGCTAGTATGTTGATTAAAACAGTGAAATCGCTTCATTTTTAGTGAGTAAATGTGACATTCTGGACTGATGTGTTTGATTTTTTGGCCATGTATATTTTTTGTGACCATTTTACAGTGATTATGATCCAGTTTGATTGACGTCCCTGATGATTTACATTATTATTCTGCAGTGAATTTACTTCATTTTCGATATGTATGGAAATATACACTAAACTGCATTCTTGGCAAATAGTTCTTAAAAAAAAGTTTTTTTTTTACCATATACATATACATAGAGGTTCTCCACCAAGAGAAGAACGTTTTTACCATGCAAAGAACCATGTATGCATTTAATGTTGTCATGGGTCCAATTATAACCATCATCCCCTGAAGGAAGAAAACATTTTTAAGGGTTTGACGTTTTTACTGAGGACTAATTTTGTCAAACACCCATTTGATAGAAGAGTGGACACATTATGATTCCATACAGCTCTAATGTGTGGAGTAGCAGCTCCTTTCTCTCGGTTTTGAGCGGCGCTTCTGCTACCGTCAGTTCAAAACCAGAGCGTCATCACCTCAGTTTCATTTTTAACCACTCGCAAGTGAAAAACATGGTGGGAATGTGTTTTGTGTCCGGTGGCGTCTCAATCGCAGTAAGTTAACTCTCTTTCTAGCCCAAAGCAGGGGAAACACTGGACCTGCCGATATTATTAACAGTTTCCATTTACCACTGTAGAATACAGGCTGATTCAAAAAGATTCATCCGATTTCAAAATTATTTATTTCACTTGTAAATCATTACAGATCAATGCAGTGAACTGTAAATGGTCTAAATGAGCATAAAGTTTATTATGTAATTTTATAAGGTCTCAGTATGAACCTCCTCCAGCTGTACAGACAACATCAACACCATAGTCAAACTCATCCCATACTGGATTGAGCGTGTCGGGTGTCGCTGCACTCACGGCTCTTTCAGTGCAATTTCGGAGATCATCCAGTGTTGTTGGGAGTGGCGCATAAACAGAATCCTTAACGTACCCCACAAAAAAGAGTCGCACGGCGTGAGATCTGGTGATGCTGACCTTTTTCTTGGAACTTTTCTTGCTGCTGGAGGTTCACTGCCATACTGACAGTCAGAAACTCTATGACCCCCTCTTTCAATTGGATTGTGATTGGTTCCCAGGCACCTCACGGTTGTAAATTATGGCGCTTTGAAATCGGATGAATTTTTTTGAATCACCCTATACATCCCGACAAAATACCGGTGTGAAAACAGCAAGTTTGGAATTGAACACTTCCTTTAAAAAAAAAAAATAATAATAATAAATAAAAGTAATGTGTTAAAACAGCGGCATCACAGTGGTTCATACTACACAAAATCAGTGTATAAAACCCCAATATTTACCATTTACTACTTTTTACAAAATAAAAAATGGGAAAAGTCCAGGTCTAAATGAGTCAGTCTATTATGGGATTTCTGTCTAAATACAGCATAAACAACTCTAAATCCAACATAAGTCACTGGTGAGCTAAGTGACCTCGGCCCACCTGTAAAGAAACCCTCACAGTGTAAAATACTTGCCGCGGTTTTCTTTTTAACGTGGGGTTGTTTACTGGTGGTGATTCTTTTGGGAGTTTTTATGGCCTGTAATTTATCATGGCTTTAGTGTTGAATTAAGTCTGCAGACTTTGATTTGTGACCAGCTTTTCTCAGTGCAGTTCTGTTTCCACATGAGCACAAATGAAGGGAAATGCAAGATAACAGATCGTCGGTGTACATTTACTGAAAAACGTGATACCTCAGCCTATCAGAGCCTGTTCTGATGGGCTACCCTGTAAATGAGAGTCCCCCTTAACGCACTCCAACTTTAAATTAAGGCTGACTGACTGATTGATTGATCACCACCTGATCAATCAGCTCCTAAATCATTTGTATGATTAGTGTTCATGTGAAAGCCTCCTTACCTTAATGGTGGCGTACTCGGGCTCGTAGATGTCATGCCACAGGTCCTGCTCGTAGTAGAACAGGCCGTCGTTAATAACCTTGGCCAGCTCACTGGTCAGTTTGGAGCGCGAGACGTGGTTTCCGGTCCGGTCTCCGCCGGGGTGTTTCCGTAGGTACGGCGGCGTCTGGGTGACTATGAGAATCTTGTTGACGTCTCGGTCGTCGATCTCTCCATCCGAATCCTCGTCTGACCAGTCCGTGAATGTGTTCCTCCGGCCGTCTATCTGCTCCATCTCCTCATCGAACATGAAGTCCAGCTCCTCCGGTTCGTCCTGAAGGTCTGGAGGTGCCGGGCCAGTCTGGACCGGAGAACGGGACTCATCCGCCTTCTGTAACGAGTCAGTCACAGCAGTTAAAGGAGGTGGAGCAACTGCTTTGATGTGTGGGATTTTATATGGCATAATTTTTATTACACCATGTAAAATAACGTTATTTATTACGTTCGTGTGGGCTAATGTATCAAAAATGGTCGTAATTCATGTCAGCCTGATCACTTCCCATCCTCTTTTCATGTCTTAGAACAAACAGGCTGTTTTTGTTACTGTCTCTTTAAGAATTTATGTAAATGAGCTGTTATGAGCTGTTATGACTGGCTGTGCCGTTCAAAAAGCAGTCCGTGCTGAAACACAGCTTATAACCACAGAAATAAATAAATGAGGAGACGGTGACTGGATTAAATATGAGTGGGAAAGCTCACAACTCTCAACATGGCGTCTGTTTACAAAGTAAGTCCTGCCCTTTAAGAAAATCAGACTTTCCTAAAAGGACTTTAGTGTGTGTGGGCGGAGCTAAACTGCAGTAGTCTGAACAGACAGACATGACAAAATCAACTAGAGGGGGAAAAAACTTTTGTGAAAAAGATGTTGCATTGTTATTCCAGGTGGTTGTTAACATATTGCTTCTCTGTTGCTATGGCATCCCAGGTGGTTGTCGATGTGTGTGTATATACACACACACACACACACACACACCGGCTAGTATGTGAGTCTGTATGTAATCTTAACCTTGATTAACACAACGTTAATTCAATTAAGATAAAAATCAGATTATTTTTTAAGATAAGATTATTTATTATTTTTGCAGCCTACTTTTCACATATGGACTTGAGAATAAACCGTACATTTACAACATTTCACAATATTTACATATTACATCAAACACCAAAAAAAAATAGTTTCAACAGTAACTACGTTGGTTAGTTTACAAGGCGTTAGCTTTTTTTTTTCAATTATAGCATTAATTAAAGGTAGTATTAATCATAACACGACACGAAAGCTGTTTAATGTGCTTTGAAACAAAACTTCATATGTTATTTAATTTGATTGTATTATTTTATTTTTTTTTATAAAACAGCAAATTGATGCTTTGGGAAATATACTGGTAAAAAAGTGCTGTGAAACCTGAAAGTTCTTAAAAGTGTACCTTTGGTCTGGCTGGAGAGGGCCGGGGACGCTTCTTCACCTCGATCCAGGACTCCGAGTCCAGGTCAGGCAGACTGGCCGATAAACCTTTAGGCATCGTCTTCAGGTTGCTCAGATCCTCCTGTTTGGGCAGATCTGGAGTGGACGCTCGCGGAGAAGCTGCAGAGAAACGCACTGACCGTCAGGACAACTTAAACAGGAGTGAGTTCAACTTCATAGCTAAAGATTAAACTGACCTCAACACACCTACACATTTTCAGACTGATGCTGGCATTGAAACTAACTGAAAGTAATCAGCTTTACAGAGATAGTTCAGCCACATTTAATCTAGTTTGTTGTCTGATCTTTGCTTATTTGAAGCTTCCATTCCACCTTAAATGGTACAGCAGCTACATTCTGGCGCCGCAAACCTCAGAATGTAACCGCTGCACCTTTTAAGGTGGAATGGAAAAGTCGAACAAGCTGGTAGTGAATAGGGAAGCCAACCTTAGCATCATTCCTCAAGTGTGAATGTGTTAGTTTCTCTAATAGACTTGATTATGTGGTTTTGACACTGTGACTCACTGTTATCTATAAACATGGACTAAACTGTTTTTAGCTATGCAACATTTTGAATGATACACTATATGGACAAAAGTATTGGGACGCCTACTAATTACTGAGTTCAAGTGTTTCCATCACACCCATTACTAACAGGTTAAGCACACAGCCTTGCAGTCTCCACAGACAAACACTGGCAGTAGAGGGTCGTACTGATGAGCGCAGTGACTTGTAATAGGATGCCACCTCTGCCACGAGTCAGTTTGTGAAATTTCTGCGGAAGACCGCGCAAACTCAGAATGAGGCCGCCGAGTGCTGAAGCACACAGTGTCTATCTTCTGTTGAATCATCACTAAAGAGCTCCAAATTTTCTCTGGAAACAACATCAGCAAAAGAACTGGGCGTTAGGAGCTTCAAGAAATGGGTTTCCATGGCTGAGCAGCTGCACACAAGCCTGAGATCAAAATGAGCCATGCCAAGTGTCGGCTGGAGGGGAGTAAAGCGCCGCCACTGGACTCTGGAGCAGTGGAAACGTATTCTGTGGAGTGATGAATCAGCTTCTCTATCTGTCAGTCTGATGGACGAGTCTGGGTTTGGCGAATGCCAGGAGAACGTTACCTGCCTGACTGCACTGTGCCAGCTGTACAGTTTGGTGGAGGAGGGATGATGATATGGGGCTGTTTTTCAGGGGTTGATCTAGAACCCTTAGTTCCAGTGAAGGGAAACCTTAATGCTTCAGCACCAAGACATTTTGGACAGTTGTACACTTCCAACTTTGTGGGACAGTTTGAGGAAGAACCTTTCCTGTTCCAGCATGACTGAGCCCCAGTGCACAAAGCAGCTCCATAAAGGCCTGACTGGGTGAGTCTGGTTGGAAGAACTTGACTGGCCCTCACAGAGTCCTGACCTCAACCCCATCAACACCTCTAAGATGAGCTAGAACGGAGATTGTGAGCCAGACCCTCTCGTCCAACATCAGTGTCTGACCTCACAAATGCTCTTCTGGATGAATGGGCAGAAATTCCCACAGACACTCTCCAACATCTTGTAGAAGCTTCCCAGAAGAGTGGAAGCTGTTACAGCTGCAAAGGGGGACCAGCTCCATATTAACACCTATGGATTTAGAATGGGATTCATAAAAGCTCCTGTAGGTGTGATGTGTAGATGTCCCAATACTTTTGTCCATATAGTGTACCTTAGAGGTGGGGATCATTCTCACTTGCTTAAGCATGTTGCTTTTAATTTCCTTACGTTCTTCATGCTGTTTATTTTATTTACGTACAGCACTCGTGTATGAAACGTGCCGTATAAACAAACTTGCCTATGTCATACAGTGTTTAACGCTAATACTGCTAATTAATGAGTTGTCCATGTTGCCATGTTACTGACTTTCAGCCAAACTATCGATCGAATGGTCTCACTTGGCTCACCTAACTGCTTCTCCACAGCACGCCGGGGTATAAACTCCGGGCAGTTGATGAGCTGGGAGAAATCCGTCTGGGAATGCTCTGGAACGGAGAACCCGGGCAGAGGCCATTTCTCCGGCTCCTCCTTTCGTCGGATTTTCATATCGATGATCTCCACTTCCTTGCTGTCCTTCAAAGCCTGAAGAGAAGCACACATACAACTCGGATATGAGACCTCATTCAACACTATACGACCTTAAACACCAACCAGTTTAAATCAAATTAACTGAAGAACATTCAAACAGGGCTCCAGAGGTGGGCAATACTGCAAAATGTATTATCACGATACTTACTTGATACATGATGTGTCACGATATTTTTTTTTATGACATCTGATAAGTCAGAACAGAGAAAGCACAAAGGGCCACATTTTAAAAACATCAAAAACTCAAAATTTCACACACTGAGCTGCACTAAATCCAACTAATTGTGCTCCAACATGCAGTTGGGAATTGATTTCCAAGTACTGACGAATCCATGATAAATAATCTGGCCCATGTCGGGTATTTAGATTTTTTTTTTAATTCTGTTAATCCTTTCCCCACTCTGTGTGTTCATGTACTGTCCCCTTAAAAACTTACTACCGCCGTGTATCACGCGACTCCACCACGTCCAGTTCGCGACATGGAAGCTAAGGCTGTGTTCACACAGCAGGTAAAAGTGGCCCAAATCTGATTTTCTCACCAAATCTGATATTTTTTGGTTTGGCTGATCAGATAATCTTTTAAATGTGATCTGTATGCAACATCAGTCTGAACAGATCAGCTCCTAAACTGACCCACAGAGCAAAAGAACAGAGCGTCACGCTGCTTCACGGCTCATCCAGAGGTAAACAATCACGACCGCCAGCGAACGCCAGTCGCTCCCGGAGGATCAGCTTCATCTTCACCAGCATCACAGGAGCCATCATGAAGCTTCACTGACTGACAGCTGGGCTCATCACCCAGAATGTGTTGGAGCCGTAAAAAGGGCGCGGTCACTTCTTTGGTTCGCGTCCTCGGATTCTTTAAACTTTGCTTTCAGACTTTTAACTGTTCTTCGACGCTGCAGTCTCGTTCTCCTGCGGCCGCATTCGGACATTTCTTTAGAAATCTCTTGGAGGGTTTTCGGATGAGTCTCTTCTAATTATTAATCTCAGCAGCGCAAAATTATGACGAATGTCGAGTTGGATTGATGAAAAATTGTGTGAATTCCGATCTGGCTGTTGAGACGATTTACATTAAGATATGCAGAACATACAGTACAAACCTTGTCAGTGAACTATGAGGGCAAAACAAACAAACAAAAACAAAATAACCGTTCATTAACCGTAATCGAGGTAAAATATTCAATTAACCGTGATATTGATTTGAGGTCATATCGCCCAGCACTAATAAACACATTTATGTTCTTACAGTGTGTAAGAGAATGCGTATCAATAGCTGTCTAAGGAAATACGTGATGCTCACTCTGTTCCTTGTAACAAACTGTACGCTTGCAATGCAAAACAAATCAATGTAAATTTTTAAACGTACTAAGACCCTCACACCAAACCAGAGCATTTTCTGTCTAAACACTCTAAAATACCGGGAAGACGACAAAAGAGGAGGAAAAAATGCATATAGAGCAGCAGCGATGATGAATTGATCATTTTCCTTTTAAGCACTGCAACTAAACGGCGCACACCCCTCATAAAAAGACCAGAACCGAAGCTGTATGGCGAGGGTCCGGGAATATTTTGGTCGTTCAATTTTTCATTTCAAAACCAGTATTGAAAAAGTGGAAAATGGGTCAGTTCTCATTTTTGGTTCTGTTATTGTCAATGGAAAAATCAATAAGTAGCTTCGTTTTACAGTTTCACAAAACCAATCAGAAAAAAAAACAAAAAAAATAATAAATAAAAAGAAGAATAAAAAGGTTCATTTTTCATTTATCCTAATTCACCATTTTCTCAGAAATAAGGTGTTAAAAAAAATGATAGACATGAAAGATCAGGTATGAATGTTGACAAGACAGGCCCAGTCCTGGTATTTTGGGAGACTATATGACGTTTTTATAGGTGTTTGATTATCTGATGTAGCTACTCTATCAGCAAAAAGCTGAAGCGATACGGCGAAGAGACCGTGAATACAGTAAAGTCCCATCATCAGATGTGAACTTGGTTATAGCAGCGGTGTTACAGCTCCAGACTTACCAGTTAAAGCTGTGAGCTGTACGGTGTTGTCCTTGTAATACTGTGGCAGCTGAACTGGCTCCTGTTTCGGGAAAGGAGCTTTAGAGGCGCGGAACGCAGAACTGCGCCCGGTTAAAAGGCACATTGTTGTGGTTTAATGACGTTAATGTTGTTCTGTTAGTCTAACACGTATGTATGTGTTACTGTGCTACTCTGTAGCGTCGCTGGCGTCTCCTTCACCAAGACGCTCATCATTACGACTGAAAACCATTCAGTCCTCCGAGCGCTGCACCAACAACCAGCGCCTTCATTACATTAAACTAAACTCTCACGGCAGGACTCTGCACAACACCGACAAACAGGCCTGATATCTGAGCTTCTGAGACCAAACGCGCGCTCGTCTATTTCCTGTTACGGTGATAGACTTTTTTATTTGGTTAAATAAAACACTACTCTTTATTCCACTGGTGCTTGTGTGTTATTTATGATTAGTTTGTGAAACTGTAAAACAAACTTTTTTTCACTGACAATAAAGCTACGTTCACATTACAAGCCTCATCACTCAAATCTGATTCTTTTGCTCAAATCCGATCTCTCTGACAGGATGGTTCACACTCGTTTAGGTAAGTGACTCAAATCTGTCATTAATGTGACGAACCTGCGTCCTGAAATGACCCTCATGCGCTCATCCTACTCAGTAACGTCACGTGAATGAATCACGTTCATCATCAGCACAAACTAACGAGCAGAACGAGCTTCGCTGAGAAGATCATTAACTCTGATCAGCTCTCAGCTTCATTATTAGAGCGAGACGAAGGAGAAAAAGGTGAGATGAGCTGCTTTTCCACCGTTTACAGGCTTTAACTTCTGTTCGGCGCTGTTGCCATGGTAACGCTGAATGATGCGCAGTGGAAAAAAAAAACACATGAATTCTGATCTGAGCGTCACATTAAGGTCACAAGGCCACAAATTGGACACGTATCTGATCTAGGACCACATATGAAAGTGGCTCAGGTCGGATTTGAAAAGATCAGATTTGTGTCCACACAGCACTGAAAACATCAGATCTGAGTCACATTAGGGCAAAAAATCAGATTTGTGCCACTTCAGCCTGGTAATGTGAACGCAGCCTAACAGAGCCAAAAACGAGAACTGACCCATTTTCCCGTTTTCAATGCTGGTTTTGAAATGAAAATCGAATGACGAAAGGATACGCGCACCGACGAGCAATTCTGAAGGTATTTCCATCTGTCAGTGGGGGGATTCGAGGGGGGGATTCGAGTGGGGGGATTCGAGGCTCTGCTTCTGCTTTTTGCTCCTCTAATTAGAAAGAGGCTAAGAACATTTCTTTACCCTCTGCGATTTGTGTCATAAGCTGTTGTGCTCTGCTACAAACCAATCACCACATTGATGGACATTTATTTGGACTGCAACCATGACAACAGAGCTCTGATTGGTTAAAACGTCAATCCAATACAAAAAAAAATTGAGCAAGCTCCAATTTAAAATGTACCTGGCGTCACGAACACTTTCAGACTCGCTCTGAAAGACGGCTTTAACATGTGCGTGTTTCGAAAACACGACGTTTGTTTTGTTTTTTTGTCTGTAAAAATCGGACTGAGTGAACAGTCTTTTAGTCTGGAGCTCTGGGAGGTAACTGGTAAAGGAGATTAGCAACAGACCTCCAGGATGAGGTTGATGTCCGTGGTCAGAGCCTGGACGCGGTGGAAGCTGGCGATGAGCGCGACGGGCAGGAAACCCTCCTGATCCATCTTCCTCCGCAAGAAGAAGTCCCTCTCCAGATTATCCACGCTGAAATAATACTCACTGCGGCACGAAGGGAAAGAAAACACTGCTCGTTAATGATTCTCGGGTCAGCAGGGTCAAACACAAACATTCAAATCTTAAACTTCCTAACCTGATTTATACATTCTTTAATAATAATTACAGGAGCTGAAATTCACACAATGAAGAGAAGAAGCTAAAATCAGGAAAAATGCTCCAGGCTGGTTTTGTCCACATACTTTCTTGCATGTTTTGAAATATCGATTAAAAAACGATTTTACAGAAACACTAAACCTAAAATAAAACGGCCAAAATTCACATAAAACGTCTGCTTTTTTAAACAAGTACTGATGGAAACATTTGCTGAATAAATCATGTAAACGTAAACGGAATAAAGTCACAAGCCTGATCAAACAGTTGAGAGAACTATACTTTAAAAGTAATTCTGACTTGTATCGAATTGTCACTTAAACTACTGTAGGGGTGATTATTCAACGACTAAAATCGACGACCAAATGAATTGGCAGCTAATTTAGTAGTCAATTAGTTGGTGACGTCATTACGCGTCTTTCTTGCTCTCACTAGGAATGTTCTGACCTCTCACTGGAGGGCTGACAACAGCGCGACGGCTGCCCCAAGAACAAAATCCACAAAGGTGTGGGAGCATTTCACACTAAACTCAGAAAACAAGGTTGTCAGTTGTGCTGTTTGTAACGCCAAACTTAGCTGGCACGGAGCTCATCCTCCATGTCGGAGCATCTGAGGAGGAAACTCGTCGACTCACTGGGTGAAGAAGATTCATCTCGGTAAGATGCGCCGCGTCCCAAACCGCATACTAGCACACTAAATAGTGTGTAAAAATAGCGCATAAACATTAGAAGTGCACTCTTTAGTGTAGTGTGTGAAGTACAGAAGTGTGGTTTGGGACGCGGCGGTAGTTGTGCTAGCGAGCTCGTGAGCTAGTGTTAAATTCAGTCCTGCTTCATGTTCTGAGCCGAGCTGGAACAGTTTCTGTTTCGAAACACAGGTTCTCTGGAATCGTTAAAGGAGCTGGAACAGAGAAGCAAATAACTATTATTCACAGCGACCCTGTTCACTTTCCAGAGCGCGGCGTCGTCTTAACATCGAGGCCAGCGGTGCGTTCAGACAGCTCTGTTCTCCGCTAACGGTGGCCACCACTCGCAAACAGTTTCAGGAGGTAGTTCTCAGCGAACACACGGGGCAGCTGGACGAAGGGTTGAAACGGAGAGTTTACACAAAACTGAATTTAACGGGGGCGGCACGGGGCAGTGGGTGGCGCTGTCGCCTCACAGCAAGAATGGCCTGGGTTAGATTCCCGGCGGGGTGACCAGGGTCATCTCTGTGTGGAGTTTGCCTGTTCTCCCCGTGTCTGCGTGGGTTTCCTCCGGGTACTCCGGTTTCCTCCCACAGTCCAAAAACATGCAGTCAGGCTGATTGGACATGCTGAATTGCCCCTAGGTGTGACTGTGTATGTCTGTCTGTCTGCCCTGCGATGGACTGGCGACCTGTCCAGGGTGTATCCTGCCTTCCGCCCAATGACAGCTGGGATAGGCTCCAGCACCCCACTGCGACCCAGAAGGATAAGCGGTTTAGATGATGGATGGATGGATGGATGAATTCAACGGTTCATAGAGAAGTCCGCCGCAAACGTTCGCCACTTTCCCATCCGCTCCGTCGGAGCGCGTCTTCTCTGCAGCGGAATACCTGCTCTCAGAGGAGAGCGACACTCTCTCACGCAGAGAAGCTGACTGCGATTGTAGAATTTAGTTGAGTGTAGACAGACAGCGGAATGCACACAGCACAGACTGCACTGTTTACATTCACAATTTACATTTAGATTGATTTTTCTATTTACTTGATTAAACGAAAACTGATTTAGTTTCGTTAAATTTTATTGCTGCTACTTTTGCACAACCGTGGTTTTAAATTTTGACAGGAAAAATATACTGGAGGTTTATTTATCTTCTGTATCAGCAGGAAAGTCCATTAAAACAGTGAATTGAATTGAATGTTATTCATCTTTACTGTCTTCATTATGACGTAGCAAATGCATAACAACCTCAAGCCAAATTTAAAAGCTGATAGCTACATGAGTTATTTGGTAACATAACGATTCATAATCTGAATAACCGATTATTTGTTTCAGTAATCGACAGATTATTCGACTATCTAATTAGTCGTTTGTTGCAGCCCTGAATTGCTGATTAAAAAACAACTTCATTTGGAGTTATAAATCTGTTATTACATTTCCGCTGTAGTTTTTTTTTTAAACAAACGCACAGTGACAGTACAGACGTGTAGCTGACGCCAGAAATCGATCACTTAGATCCACAGGCTGTCAGTGAGTGTGTGATGTTTCCTCACATCTGTCTCTTGATGTAATCCTTCAGCAGGTCCTGATCCACAGAGTAAAGGTCAGTGCTGCTCACGCTGTCGTAGTAATAGGTCACCGTGTTGCTGAATTTCTGACCGTAGGCGCCGTCTTTGCCCTCGTAGGCCTTATAGCCGTAGTGATAGTCGTAGTGGCCTGGAAAGAAGAGAAGAAACAGGAAATTAACTTTCATATACATTACAGAAAATAAGAAAACCAGTAAACATCTAATAATAATAATAATAATAATAATAATAATAATAATAATGTCATTATATTTTCACTCTTACAAAAGATGGCTCTTCAAGGGTTCTTTAGTAAAGAAAATGGTTCCATATAGAACTATGAACACTCAAAGAACCATTTGCATGATTAAAGGGTTCTTTGCCGCGTAAAACTGTTCTTCACATAAATGGAGAACGTGCTGTAGATGGTTCTAAATTGAACTTTTTTGTTACGGTGTCAAGCTTGTAACAATAAAAAGAACCCTTTTGGGTGCTATATAGAACCATTTTCAAAAAGGTTCCATATAGAGCCGTCTACAGCGCATTCATGCACATTTTGCATTGATCTGAAGAACCCTTTCATGATGCGAAGAACCCTGCAATCACGCAAAGGGTTTGAGTGTTCATGGTTCTATATTAAGCCATTTTCTTTACTAAAGAACCCTGAGAGCATCATCTTTAAGAGTGTGGCAAATAAGGAAAAAATCTAATTTGGACAAATATTTAAAATGGAGGTATTTGAGGAATAAATAGAGGAATAAATAAATAAATAAGCTAATATACAGAAACAATTTGTGCAATGTCAATCTCGTGCTGTAGCACTAAATCAATAGCACATTTTCTGTATATTACAGCTTTTTAAAAACAAATGCAACAAAAAAGGCAGCAAAATAAATAAATAAATAAACAAAACCTAAAAGAAGAATTGTCAATATAAAAAAGGAATTATTCAAGGAAACAAAAATAAAGGAATATATATATATATATATAAATTGTTTTCAATGTCACAATCGAATACTGTAGCTAGCTGGCTACTGCTCAATAAGTCAATAACATAACATTTTATTTATAGAGATGCTTTTCAGATAAAATGTGATAAAATAAAAAGGGGATATTTACAGGAGGAAAACCAAAGTTTGTGTTACAGTCCAGTAATGCATGCGATGCAGGAGATAAACAGCCCAATGAGGGGTTTTTAAACGGCAGCAGAGACAGAGTTAACAACAGAAGTAAAGGTCTGAGGTTGTTCTGAGCAGAAGGCTGAACCGTCCTTTCCTTTTTACCCAGAACCGAAGGGGCTCTGCGTTCCTGGAGAAAATGAGTTTGAGTAAAGTCAGTCGAGCGCCTGCCAAAACCAACAGGCCTCGCCGGGCAGCGCTAAACGCCGACCCTCTCAGCGCAGCTGTGGTCAAATTGCTTTGTTTTTAGTTTGACCTCAAAGGCTAGAAAAAAACCACTGTAGAACTAAATAAGAGTTCTGCCTGGAAATTAACACACAAAGCCTGGAGCTGCTGCCAGCGTGGCACAGCGAGAGAACAAACTCGCTAGAACTCAGAACATCAGCGCAGAACAACAGAGAGCTATTAAACTGTGGGGACAACAGCTAATATACAGAGCAATGACGCTACAGCAAAACCAGAGCGGAAAGAGCACCTACACTCTCATAAAGATGGTTCTTCAAGGGTTCTTTAGTAAAGAAAATGGCTATATCAAGAACCATGAACACTTAAAGAACACTTTGCATGATTAAAGGGTTCTTTGCATGGTAATATAGTTCTTCAGATTGATAGAGAGTGTGTTGTATATGGTTCTATATAGCACCGAAAATGGTTGACAAGCTTGACATCATAACAACAGAAGAACAACAGAAGGTTCTTTAGAGAACCATTTACAGCACATTCTGAAGAACGCTTTTATGATGCTTAAGAACCCTTGCAAAGGGTTCTTTGAGTGTGCAGGGTTCTATACAGAGCCATTTTCTTTACTAAAGAACCCTTGAAGAACCGTCTTTTTGCGAGTGTAGGTGCTCTTTCCGCTCGGGTTTCGCTGTAGCGTTGTGTGCGATTAAAGGGATCTTGAACATCATGAAAGGGTTCTTCAAAATGTGCCGTAGATGGCTCTATATAGAACCTTTTTGAAAAGGGTGCCACATAGCACACAAAAGGGTTCTTCTATTGTTACGATGTCAAGCTTGTAACAACAGAAGAACCCTTTTTGGTGCTTTATAGAACCATCGACAGCAAATTCTCTGTCAATCTAAAAAATAAAATAAAATAAAAAAAAAAACATTCCCGATGCGAAGAATCCTTTAATCATGCTAAGGGTTCTTTGAGTTCATGGTTCTTTATAGAACCACTTTCTTTACCAAAGAACCATCTTTTCTGAGCGTGTACAGCCCCCACTTGGCTAACAGCTGAATTTACTGAGGAAGTTTTGAACAGGTCCACCTTAAATGAACATCTAACTGTGCTCTTTTGAATATTTTTGGATTATTTCATTTACATATCTTTTATTTACTGTCACCAATTATTTACCATCACCCACCCCCAGTTCTTCAGTGAGATGCAGCTGAAGTCAGATATTCGCCAGCTTCTCGTTTGAATTATCCCGTTCCACCTTAAATGGTCCAGAATGTAACTGCTGCATTTAAGGTGGAATGGGAAATGTAGCTAGCTAGCGACCAAGACATTAGCAAACTACTAACAATTCTTTGGCCCAATCCCATTTCAGCCCTCGCCCCTACCACTGAGCCCTCTGTTTTGCATGTTCATGTCTAGGGGTAGGGGGTCCCGATTCTTGTTGAGATAGAGGGGGAGGGTGAAGTGTTGGGGCTACATGACCCTCCAAACGGAGGTTTTTCAGAGACTCCAAACAGAGAGTTATGAGAAAAAAGGAAAACCAGCAAGATGGAGAACAAGAGACCAAAGAAACCCACAAATGTGAGAATTTTCTCTTTTAAAAAATTCAGATAATCATTGTTTTATCATAGTTTAATGTTGTTTCAGTGTATTATGGTCATTTTCTTCATATCAAGCACAAAAAAAATAAATAAATAAAAAAAATAAATAAACACGCTATTAGTATGCTAACGTCTCGGTAGCTAGCTGGCTAACTTTCCCGTTCCACCTTAAATAGTCCAGCAGTTCTGACGCCTGAAGTGCCACAATGTAACTGCTGCACCATTTAAGGTGGAACGGGAACATTCGAGCAAGAGTCTGGTGAATATCTGACTTCAGCTTCATATCACTGAAGAATTAGGGGTGGGTGATAATAAATAATTGCCCCCCCCCCACCCCTTTGAAGGCACATGATGCCCTAAATGTAACTAAAGCCCAGCAGTGAGGAGCTGAACTTTACCCTCCTCTGCTGTCACTGCAGACTGGCAGGGTCGCCTACAGAGCAGCGCTGGTAGCTGTTAATGAAGTGATGCTCTTTTTATTTGAGGGTCCCATTTCAGAGGGAAGATTTCAACCTCTACCCTGTAACTCAGTACCAATGGGTTAGGGTGACACTCGAAAACAAGGGGTAGGGGGAAGAAGAAGAAATGGGACTGGGCCTTTATGCTTGTTATGAAGAAAAGAACCACAATACACTGAAACAACATTAAACTAAGATAAAACGATGATTATCTGAATTTTTTAAAAGAGAAAATTCTCACATTTGTGGGTTTCTTTGGTCTCTTGTTCTCCATCTTGCTGGTTTTTCTTTTTTTCTCATAACTCTCTGTTTGGAGTCTCTGAAAAACCTTCGTTTGGAGGGTCATGTAGCCCCAACACTTCACCCTCCCCCTCTATCTCAACAAGAATCAGGACACCCTACCCCTAGACGTGAACGCACAAAACAGAGGGGTAGGGCTAAGTGGTAAGAGCGAAGGGTGAAACGGGACTGGGCCTATCGATTTCAATAAATATTGAAAAATCAAATATAAACAGTAGGGGTTGTGATTTTTGGGGTTTATTTGGTCAGAGGCTTCGAAAAAGGCCAAAACAACTCATTTAGTTTATAATTAGAACTCTGTAGAATCCTGTTTAACACAGCTAAAGTTGGGCAATATGACAAAATTCATCGATAACAAGACAAATTTTCTCACAATGATGTACAATGCTTTTCTGAGTATATCGTGGACATCGTCAGTACTTAAAGAACACTGACCCACTACACGTTTGATTAAAAACAGAATATATCTGATTAAATCAGAATATAATCTGATTTAATGCAGCGCAGTGTGTGAACAGTTAAATGAAAACAACTGTACTCAGTCTTGAAGTTTCTAAATGCGGCTCTACTAGTAAACCGTATGAGTCAAAATATGGTGATATGCATTATGTATCGTCAAAATGTCGAAGTATCGTGATGTGATTTGTCTGCCATATCACCCACCCTTATTTCGTACATATAAAAACTGGAAATGGAATTGAATGTTGACCTAAAAACCGAAAATCATTCTGAATCTGATCGCCTGTCAGATACCGAGAGTTTTTACTGAACTGGGAAAATTTGCCTTTAGCACCCGTGAACTGGAACTCACTACAGGAGTCTCTAAAACTTGCTCAGTGGGGTCACTCAATCATTTTCTAACCACATTCAGACAGCCTGAAACTGTTTTAGTTGCGTTTAACTTTTCCTTTACAACTTTATTTAATTTTATTAATTTTTTTACCGCAATCGTTTTATTTGATGTTAAATCTTATTATGTTCTACTTTAGTAAAAAATTATATTTAAGATTTTGTTTTCTTACTTCATTTTATCTTAGTTGGTTCTTTTACTTACTATCAATGTGTTTTGATTATATATTTTATTGCTCTTTTATGTCTGTTTCCTATTTGAGCAGTTTTTATTTCTATAAAAATCTTCTTGTCTGGCTGATTTTGTTTTAGTTGATAATTTGCTTGGCTACATTTTAAATGAGGTTCACCCTCAATGAACTTCCAAGTCAAAATAAAGGTTGACTGACTGAACTTATAAAACTGTCACCGTATCACTGTGGTATCGTGAGTAATCAGGCCTGCTGTGAAGTGTTTTTCTGCCCCTAAACCTGCTCACCTCTGCTTCCTCCTCTTCCTCTGCCTCTTCCTCTTCCCCTCCCGCGGCCGCGGCCCCTGAAGCCCCCTCCTCTGAACGGAGCCCCTTCACTCTTCACGCTGGACACTTCGTCATGATCGTCCCTGAAATCGTGCTCGTACTTCCCGCTGTGCCAGTCTGCACACAAACATTCAGCACATAATAAACACATAATATTACAGACTAATACGGTTAACTCCATAAACCAGGAGCCAACAAGCAGCAGATTATTAAGATCTACACCGGTCAGGCATAACATTGTTTCTACGCTCATTGTCCATTTTATCAGCTCCACTTACTATATAGGTGCAGTTTGTAGTTCTACAGTTACAGACTGTAGTCCATCTGTTTCTCTGATACTTTGTTAGCCCCCTTTTACCCTGTTCTTCAGTGGTCAGGACCCCCATGGACCCTCACAGAGCAGGTACTATTTGGGTGGAGGATCATTCTCAGCACTGCAGTAACACTGACGTGGTGGTGGTGTGTTAGTGTGTGTTGTGCTGGTCTGAGTGGATCAGACACAGCAGTGCTGCTGGAGTTTTTAAACACCTCAGTGTCACTGCTGGACTGAGAATAGTCCACCAACCAAAAATATCCAGCCAACAGCGTCCTGTGGGCAGCATCCTGTGACCACTGATGAAGGACTAGAGGATGACCAACACAAACTGTGCAGCAGCAGATGAGCTATCGTCTCTGACTTTACATCTACAAGGTGGACCGACAAGGTAGGAGTGTCTAATAGAGTGGACAGTGAGTGGACACAGTGTTTACAAACTCCAGCAGCACTGCTGTGTCTGATCCACTCAGACCAGCACAACACACACTAACACACCACCACCACGTCAGTGTTACTGCAGTGCTGAAAATGATCCACCACCCAAATAGTACCTGCTCTGTGAGGGTCCACGGGGGTCCTGACCACTGAAGAACAGGGTAAAAGGGGGCTAACAAAGTATCAGAGAAACAGATGGACTACAGTCTGTAACTGTAGAACTACAAAGTGCACCTATATAGTAAGTGGAGCTGGTAAAATGGACAATTAGCCTAGAAACAAGGAGGTGGTCATAATGTTAAGCCTGATCAGTGTATAGTCTGCATACAGCTTGTTCACTGTGTATACTCTGTGTATAGTACATCATGTACTGTCTGTAAATAATCTGTATACTGTTTGTATTTTACTGCGTTTATTTCTAGACAGAGGCCAACAGCTGGAACCAAATCCCTTCTGTGTGTCAACATACTTGGCCAATGAATCTGATACCAATTCAAAGCTGAGCTGAGTTTGAAGGAGGTTTTCCTTTAGAGTCGGTGCAGAGAGAGACCGGCCGATACCTCTGAGGTTGTTGCGGTTGTTGTGGGGCATTCTGGGAGCTTCTCCTTGGCGTGCGTTGTTCCTGGAAGCCGAGCGCTCTCGGGGACCCTCAGACTTCACGTCGATCACCAGAGGAACCCACTTGTGTTTATTTCCTGTTAAATACACAGACGACACCTTCACAACCCATCTAAACACAAACAGACTTCACCGCTACGACTTTGCGTACCGTAACGTCGCTCTGCTCTAAAGCAAAGCTGACTAAAGTCGGCCAGGAGGACTTTTAATTTGTCCTGTCAGAAAGTTAACTGAAAAATATCTTGAATTTTCCTTTTTAAAATGAATTTCTGGAGATATTTAGCAGTGCTATGTTATAAACAACAAGTTTAAAATCACAATTTCAATATTTATTTATAATAACCTTTATTTATATAGTATCTTTGACTTAAGCTGCAGAGATAAAAACGAGAACGAAACGAGGTTGTCTAATAAAAACATAGAAAAATTGGCACACAATGATATTCTATAAATAAAAGCAGCAATAAAAAATGTAAATACTAGAAAGAAGTACAAATAAAATAATTTCAAATAATTTTCTGCTGTGTTGTCTTTCATTTTTATTCACTGAAATTAATGCAAGCGGATTTTTAATTATTTTCACGTCTAGGCTTTGTTATGCACTGAGTTGGTTTGGTTTTTGTTTTAGTTAAAAGTTAATTCAAAGGCATATTTTGTTATTTAATTTTTGTCAGAAAATTTCTTTATACATATCTAATTGTGCCCATATAACAGTATAACTTGAATGTGAACCACTGATCATTTTGTAAGCTATGAAAATCTAAAATGGAAAAAATCTAAATAATAATAATAATAATAATAATAATAATGACAATAACAATAATAAAAGTAAAAATGTGTACACGGTTGTGTCTTGTATGCACTACATTTGGCCCCACAAAAAGTTTGGGCACCCCAGAATCGCAAACTGCAGTTCCTGGATCAACCTGCAGGGGGCATCAACGTTCTTCCAGTCAGTGCAGACTGAACTGAAAGGCTCGCAGAGCCCATTTAGACTGACGTGGCCCTGCACCTCTACACCACGTCTCTCTCTGTCTGTCTCTCTTTCAGCAGATGAGCTATCGCCTCTGACTTTACATCTACAAGGTGGACTGACAAGGTAGGAGTGTCTAATAGAGTGGACAGTGAGTGGACACAGTGTTTAAAAACTCCAGCAGCACTGCTGTGTCCGATCCACTCGCACCAGCACAACACACACTAACACACCACCACCACGTCAGTGTTACTGCAGTGCTGAGAATGATCCACCACCCAAACAGCACCTGCTCTGTGAGGGTCCATGGGGGTCCTGACCACTGAAGAACAGGGTAACAAAGTATCAGAGAAACAGATGGACTACAGTCTGTAACTGTAGAACTAGAGTTAACTATACGGTCAGTGGAGCTGATAAGATGGACAGTGAGTGTAGAAACAAGGAGGTGGACTTAATGAAGTGCCTGTCAGTTTATAGTCTCCAGATCTTACCGTAAACAGGCTTCAGAAGCCACGCCCCTTACATGCAAACTAGGCCTCTGGTGCAGCCTATCAGAGTAAAGTGGGTGGGGCAGCTACAGAAAGAGCCACTCCAAAAATGACTGGGCTTTTTTTCCTGTAGAGTTCATGTACAATCTGCACAATTATGGTTCTTCAAGGGTTCTTTTTTCAGAGTAAACAGTTCTGTATAGAACTAAATTAAAGGGTTCTTTGCATCATGAAAGGGTTCTTAACAATTTTTGAAAAGGGTTCTACATAGCACCAAAAAGGCTCTTCTACTGTTACAACATCAAGCTTGTAACAATACAAGAACCCTTTTGGGTGCTAGATAGAACACTACAGCATCATTAAATGGTTCTTTCCATGGCGAAAGGGTTCTTTAGATTGATGGAGAATGTGTTGTATATGGATCTATATTTACCTTTTTGAAAAGGGTTCTATATAGCACCAAAACAGGTTCTGCTATCGCTATGTCAAGCTGGTCACAGTAGAAGAACCATTTCAGTGCTATATAGAACCCTTTTCGAAAACTTCTATACTGAACCATCTACAGCACGTTCTCCATCAATCTGAGGAACCATTTCACCATGTAAAGAACTGTTAAAATCATGCAAAGGGTTCTTTGAGGTTCTATATAGCACCATTTGTTTACTAAAAAACCCTCTGAAGAACCCTCTTTAAGATTGTCAAGACTGATTTTGTGGGTTTGTGTTAGCAGGCAGAGCAACAGGACCTGGCAAAGTTCTATAGGAGAACCTTTATTATACTGAACAAACAGAATTAGAGCTCCGCAGAACCACAAGCATTTCAGTAACACTGAAAATAAAAAAATTGATTTAAAGCTTAATCTCAGAATCAAACACTGTAAGCGAAGCCAAGTCCTCTGTGTGTCTCAACCGATGCAGCTCATACAGCTGATATTATTAACCCTCTGGGGTCGACGAACACGCCAGCGCCTCAAATTAGATGTTTCTCAGTATTTCTATTAATATCTTTAGAATAATCCAGCTCAGAAATCCAGTTCAAACACTTCCTGAATCTGTAGAGTCGCCCTTTCCATTCCATCTTATCACGAGATCATACGAGACTCACATCCGGAGTTATGAGCCTATGAAGAGGGGCTGAGATACACGTCATCTGCCTCTCACCGTGTGGAACTGGTGGATTCGCGTGTCCGTCTACATTCTGTGTGAAACTGACCAATGGACACTCGGGAAACCACTCAGGACTGACCATCACACCAGAAACCCTTCATTCTTCATTCAGTCCACATCGGAGACTCATGTGAAACGGCGTGCAGAGAGTTTACAGCTGCTGAAGCGGTTTTGGAAAGTAGTGATGAGATTTATCTGCTGTTTTTTCATGTATTCCACTACTTCTGAGAACCTTTAGACTTTGGTAAACACATTTCAACACCGAAACAACTCGGCCACATGAGTAAAGCTGTGTTTTCACAAGAGATATTAAGAAAGTCGAAAAACGGACTTCATTTTTTCAGCTTTAGGGCTGAATTCTCTCTTTACACAAAGCTCCAGGTGAAAAGGGCCTCGTTATATAGATCAGGGGTCTTTAATTAAAATTCAGGTCCAGTTAGAGAAAACATCCTCAGGCGAAGGTCCAGAACATCATAACGTCTAACCTGCATCATGATTCAGTGCCATATACTGTTTACTGAAGTAGCCTAGTAGGTATATCAACATCTTATACAGTCAACAACTGAATATCAAATCAAATAAAGTACAGTTCAGTCATATTTCAACAATATTTATGGTCAGTTTTCTCTTTTTAGATCACGACATGTGAAATAACTTCCCTCTGACTCACTTTCTTCTCCGACTGCTGTTTCTCGCCTCGTCCCTCCCCTGTGTGTGCGTCACTCACTCGAGTCTCAGTGCTCATCGTAATGCACAGATCTGATTGGCTGAGTAGCGTCACGTGTGATATTTACAACGCATGCGATTGGTCTCTGAGTTTCCGGGCCGCTAAAGCTACCATAAAGGCTAGAAAAGCTATGTCGATTAAAACAGGACCACCCCATCAAAATGAAAGAATTCTCTATAGTTTATCGGTTATAGGTCCAGGTCCGCATAGGACAGCATCTGGGTCCAGACTCGGACCGCAGTCCTCCTATTAGCGACCTCTGAAGTAGAGAGTTCGGATCGTTCTAAATATTTTGATGTATAATAATGGATATCACGTCATATGCAAGAGCGTTTAAAGACGAATTTAAGAACATATGCAAAAATCAAGAAAATGCCCTCAGACCCCCGAGGGTTAATATTTCCATACCAGCCAGACAGCAGGAACTCAGAGTTACTAGCAGGTCACACACTGCCCACACAAAATGGCATTATAGGGACAATTTAAATGACTTTCATCTAAATTAAAGATAATATTTAGAACAGATTCTGTGGTTATAACACATTTTTGTACAGTGTTTATTAACCCAAACCTGAAAACTAACTAACACGCGGCACCACAGCTCGTATTTCATCATTATTATATTTTCTGTTTATATTTTTGAGCTCTGTGCAGTTTAATGTCTCAATTAATCTTAATAATATCCACATATTTGACAATTCAAACAAACCTGCTGCGCCAAACTGGGCGAACGCACCTTTCTTTTTCTGTCCGTTTTTCTGAGAGTCCTCGTCTCCGTTCTTCTCCTCTCCAGAGTCGTCCGATTTGGCCTTCTGGTTCTCCTTGCTCTCCTCGTTCTCTCGCTTCTCTTTCGACTCTTTCTTCGCCATCACCTTCTTGGGTGCCTGAGGACGTTAAACACAGAAACGTAGAAGAAATTAATGTGATTAATTTTATATACTGGAGAAAACACAGCTGAATGGTGAACGATGGAATTGGTAACCAAAAAAGAATAATCTTTAATATCAGTTCAGTACTTTAGTCGGAGTTTGTAGATAACCGTATGGACAGAAACAGAATCAGAGCACTAACTGGGCCTGAAACTGTGGACCAAAACTGAATCGAGTCCAAGAAAAGTGACCCAAACAACCATCATCATGCAGTTTTGAGTTGATAACCGTCCCCAGTTTAACCAAATGTCATTAGATCACATATAAATAAATATAAAAAATAAATAAAACAATAAGATACAAAATAATAATCTGTCCAAAATTACATTTAAATTCTGCTTTAACAAATTTATTCATCAAGCTGTGCTTTCAAACAACATCCTAGAAGTTTGGGTAAACTTTCCACAATGTGCTGCGTAGGACCGACCGATTAATCATTTTTACATCACAATCACAATTCTGCTGATACATTTTTCGCTTCTGACTTTGGCCACATTTTCTCAGGGGTCGGGTCTTGTGGGTGTGGCTATGACTTGGTATTGCAAATCAGTTAAACAAACTGAACATCCCCCTCCACGAAAATGTGTCAAAGGACAAAATTGAGGACAAAATTCTGAAGCAAAAAATGTGTGAATCAACAAAATCGGCAACAGAAAGAAATTAATAAAATTGAAAAAAATGAAAACAAAGAGTGGCAATAATAATAATAATAATAATAATAATAATAAGTAATTTCTATTAAAATGAGCAAAAATTTTAAAACTTCTAGAAAATTTAAGGTGCTTGTGCACAAAATTAACAAAAATTTTTTATCTTTATCGCGATACGAGTTTCCACAACGAGCACATCGTTAAAGCAGTGATGACAGAACAGATCTAATGACCTTATTGACGCAGCGCCAGAAAGACGTCATTACATCACAAACTGTTACAAGCCTGCTTCTCCGAGCTAGAGACCATTATTTTAACTGGAATTTTATATTATAATAATTTTAGTATTTTGGTATTTTTAGTTTAGTATTTTATTTTATAGCAATTTTAATAGATTTGTCGTCCTGCGGTACAGAATACAGCCCTCCTACGGGGACGGTGTTTATTCCTGGCTCTTCTCTGACCTACATTTCAGCAGGTACAGAGTGAAACGGCCCTCAACGCACTTCTAAAAAAGGGCCTTACTCGGGTCACCAGGGCGGACAGACCCTGGCTAAGATATCTGCATCAGAAATAGCCTTCCAGTCTCACCGGAACCACTGAGCGCTCTCCGGAAAAGGAGAATAAACACGGAACAGGTGGATATCTGCAAAAAGCACAGCTCTACAACCTGGCTGACATATCGGCCAACGCCGACCCTGCACACGTTTATCTGTACCTGTATTACCACTCGTTTAATTACAGCAGCACTACAGGCTGAACAGGTACATCTGAACACCATCATGGTTTGAATAACATGTAAAACACAGGCCCATCTCACATTTAACCCCAAAATATATTCATATTAAGAGAACTGTTTAGGGTAGCTCCGCCCTCAGTGCTGCTATATTTATATTATTGAAGACTGACTTTAACCACTTATGCTTGTGGGTATATTTCGGTTTTTCCATCTGAATTTACAAGGCAAATTATTCAGTAACTGCATGAAAAAACTATTTCTTGGTGGGTTTTTTTGTAAAAGTTTCCCTCAAATTAACAGAAAATGTGTTTTACGATCACACATATTGTAATATGCTTACAAAAATCTTTAACGCTCTGTATTTTTTTATAAAAATAATTTTTACAGTGCAGATCACTGAAGAGACACCATCTGAGATCCAGTTTGTAGCTCAGATTTGTGAAAAATAAGTCAAATTTCAGTAGAGTTTCTTCTATTATAAGGGTTTAAAATTACATCACCCATCTATTTGACTGGAAAGAAGACAGTCACAGCTCTCATACGACCCCCAGCTTTAGAATGTAGCTTATGAAATATGACAGTTATGAAGTAAAGAATATGACGAAGTGCGTTTTGGAACCACCGGTGGTCCCAAGGAGTTAAAAAGGTTAAGAAACATCATGACACTTCAACTTTAAAATATAAACAGTACATACTGGCAAATAATGACGAGCCACTGGAATTTTCTGCCCCTTAAAATCAGTATTTCAGTCAGGAAATACAGCCATATAACCCGGCTTTAGTCCGAGTAAAACCTGGCAACCTCACAGACGCTCCAATAACGTTACTCGTCTTCGCGGGCCGAGTGCCAGGGAGCCAGCATGCCTTACAGAGATATCACAGGGTTCTGATATCAGCGCTGCTTAAACTGAACTGCATGTTTCATTTACAGTAGGAACTGCAGCCAAATCTTCCCCTTCAGGACAGAAATACACCTCCCTGCAGACTGACTGCAGTTAGCACAGACAGGAGCGTCTATTATATCACTAATTACACACTTTCGAGTCTGGATTTGTGTGTTTCAATTTGTTTTGATATGAGAAAGTGACAAAAAACACAACATAAAGGACGTTTTATGATTTAAGGATGTTGTTTTGTATGTGTATGATTTATGTTAAAGCTGGACTATGCGAGTTTTGGGGATTTGGAGACCTCTCTGGTGGAAACGTGTAACTGCACGCGAGGGGATGAATCGCATCAAATGCATGTTTTTATTTAATATTGTTAAAGGGTCGATATCAAATTAGTTTGTTTTAAAATGTACCATTCAGTCCCCAGTCTATACAGTCCAAATATGAAAAATTCAACTGCAAAATCCCATTTTAAACTGTTTTTGTGGCGCCACAAACTGTAGGTATAGCCCTGTACGTTCAATCTACAGCAGGTCAGCTCCGCCAATTTAGCCTGTAGCCCCTGTAATGTAAATTTAAAGGGTAATTCCACCAGTGTTTCAAATTTTTCTTCATAATTCAGTGTGTGAGATGCAAACAGAGCGATTCAGAGAGGTTTGGTGTGAAATGGTTGACTGTAGAGAGACTACATTCACACAGCAGGTAAAAGTGGCCTAAATCTCACCAAATCTGATGTTTTTGTTTGTCTGTTCAGATTATCTTTTAAATCTGATCTGTATGCGACATCAGTCTGAACAGATCAGCTCCTAAACCGACCCTCATGAGCAAAAGAACAGAGCGTCACGCTGCTTCACGGCTCATCCAGAGGTAAACAATCACGACCGCCAGCGAACGCCAGTCGCTCCCGGAGGATCAGCTTCATCTTCACCAGCATCACAGGAGCCATCATGAAGCTTCACTGACTGACAGCTGGGCTCATCACCCAGAATGTGTTCGAGCCGTAAAAAGGGCGCGGTCACTTCTTTGGTTCGCGTCCTCGGATTCTTTGAACATCACCCTAAATATTTGAGTCTCAGCAGTGTGAAATTATGACGAATGTGGAGTCGGACTGACATAAAAAGTGGCATGAATTCCGATCTGTCTGTTCAGACCGAGTCACATTGATCGGACATGTATCGGATCTCAGTACCACATATAAAAGCATCTCAAATCAGAACTGAAAATGTCAGATTCAGTGTGTTTATCTGTTCACACTGACACACATCTGTGTCACATATGAAGACAAATATTGGATTTGGGCCACTTTTACCTGCTGAGTGAACAAAGCCTCAGATGTCTTTACAGTGGTGGTGACAGGAACCAGGGGTCGCCATGACTACAACACAAATATAGACATTTTATTTACTATCTGAACAACTAAATAAACAATTCTGACTCTGTTAGTTTCTCCAAAACGGAGCATTTCACAACAAACCACTCCAAACGACTCTTTAACCATTTAATCCCCATGACTGAACTCACCTGAACTTCCTTCGTGGCGATCTCTCCGGGGGTCGGCCAGTTGTTCGCATCTCCAAAATCACCGACCTTGAAAAGATTTAATTATTTTAAGTTATTTTGAACCCATAGAGACGTTAATTTTAAAGCTCTGGCCTTAAAGACTCTGCAGAACGTAACGTTATTAGTTATCTGTCAACACAGCAGTGCAGATAAACTGTATTAACCCAGTGGAGCTTTTTCATATTCATACATCAGAAACTGGCCCAGACGATGGTTCTTCAAGGGTTCTTTAGCATCGAAAACGGTTCGACACAGAACCATTAACATACATAGAACCCTCTGCATGATTAAAGCGTTCTTTGCATCATCCAAGGGTTCTTCACATTGACAGAACGTGTTCACGGTTCTATATATAACATTTCTGAAAAGGATTCTTCTATTGTACAGGCTTAAGAAGATGGTTCTTCAAGGGTTCTTTAGTAAAGAAAGTGGTTCTTTGTATGTTCAAAGGGTTCTTTGCACCTTCAAAGGGTTCTTAAGAATGTGCTGTAGATAGTTCTACATAGAACCTTTTTGAAAAAAGGTTCTATATAGCACCAAAAAGGGTTCTTCTATTGTTTCGATGTCATGCTTGTAATAATAGAACCCTTTTGGGTGCTTTATGGAACACTTTTCAAAAAGGCTCCATATAGAACCATCTACAGCACGTTCTCCATCAACCTGAAGAACGCCGTCATGATGCAAAGAACCATTTAATCATGCAAAAAGTACCTTGAGTGTTAATACAGAACCATTTTCTTTACTAAAGAACTTTTGAAGAACCACTTTTTCCAAGTGTGTAACAAGCTTGACATCGTAACAACAGAGGAACCCTTTTTGGGTGCTATACCCTTTTCAAAAGGGCTCTATATAGAACCATATACAACACATTCTCCAACAACCATGCAAAAGGTTCTTTGAGTGTTCATGGTTCTATATAGAACCATTTTCTTTACCAAAGAACCCTTGAAGAACCATCTTTTTTAAGAGTGCACCACACTTCCACTGATCCGGATACTCTGGGCGATTTTATATACGTCTGCTTTGACAAAGAGCAATAAAGAGACTATAATGTTCTACAGTAAAGGTTCCTAAATGATTGTTAACTTGGACAGAAGAGTTTTAAGAATCTCTGTGATCTGGTACAGAATGCACACTCTACCTGGAGGTTCTTCAAACCGGCGTATCTCACTTATAAAGACGGTTCTTTAAACAATCATCCACTGAAAGTATCTTTGGGGAACCAAAAGAGGTTCTGCTACGGCCTCAAACCAAAGAACCCTTTGTGGGACCTTTGTTTTTTAAAAGAGTGTGTGTTGCTGAACAAAATTCAGTCTCAGAGTATTTAAAAAAAATACAGTTTTAGAGAATCAAACACAAAATCTGGTGCAAATCTTTGTGTTTAGGAAAGCAGAACCTGCAGGAACGTACCTTTCCTCCTCTCCTGGCTCTGGGGTTTCCGGCTCTCACCACTTTGGCTGGTCCAGTTTGCTCTGATTAAGGAAAAAAAGGAGACAAAATTAGACAAAAATCGTTCAGTACAAGCAGAAGCGGCTGGGGGACCAAACGATGACCTACACTCAACAGCTCCATTCAATAACTAACACAATACGCAACACACAATAAATAAATAAATAAATAAATAAATAAACAGATATATAGATAAATAAATAGAGTAAATTCAAGACAAGACATGCAACAATTAATACAATTTGCCCACAAATGCAATGGTACTAAATTTATCTTATTTCTTGAGATGCTATTCTGTTGTAATTTTAATTGTTTATTGATTCATTTCTTTTCTGTTTAATATTATGATTATTCTTATTTTTTAGCATTTGTTATGTTTTTTATATTTAATGTCCCTGATTTCTGTATTGGCTCGGCTCCGTTGTAAATGAGGGTCTCTTTCAACGTACTGAGTTTAAATAAAGGTGGATTAATATCTATGAAATAGTATATAAAAATAGAGGCTGTCCCAGGTAAAGATGGGCAATATGACAACATTTCATCATCACTGCAACACATTTCATCATCATTATACACAATATGCTTCTCTGAGCATCGCCGGTACTTAAAGAACGCTGACCGACTGCATGCAGCATCAAAACGAGAACATAATCAGTCCTGTTTAACTGGATTTAGCTCAGCGCAGAAAAGGAAATGCTTAATAAAACATGGTGTCCAGAGATTCTGACTGGTGTTTCTAACCGTGGAACTGCTGGCCCACTGTGTCAAAATATCGTGTCACGTTACGTGTCTTGAAATCATCTTTAAATATCGTGATATTTCGGCCATATCGCCCACCTTTAGTGCTAGTAACTGTGACTAGGGGTGGCAAAATACGGCAAAAATATTACAAATATTTACAGACATTTTAAAGACTTGAACAGTGTTGATACTAATTACATGTTCCATTAAAAGTCAGCATAATTAGTTCTGTTTAATTATATTTAGTGCAGTGAAATCTGTAAAATAATCAATTTAGGATTTTTCAGAATAGACGATCATATGCATCATATTTCACTTTTCTGAGATTTAATAAGCTGGAACATAAAACAGAACCTGCAGTGCCACAAATCAGAAATAATCCAATAAAATAATGATAGAATAATATAATTAGTCCAATTAAACAGGCCTATTTATGCCCTTTGTGTGGTGAAGTGTAGCTGGTCTGCTGTTTAAGTACCGACGATAACCGTGATGTGCTCAGAAAAACGTATGGTGACAATTTATCATGAGAACGATAAACTATTGCCGTATTATCCAGCTGTAATTAGTACATCACCGTTATATTTCCGTTTCCTGGTAATGTATCTGCGTCTGTTCACACCAGGATTTCAACTCCAGCTTGTGTTCAAAGTGAATCTCTTTGGATTCTCGTTAAATTCACGGGTTAAACGTAACGTGTGAAAGGTGTTTAAGTGTAGGACTGGGCAATATGACAATATTAGTCATTATCGTGATACTTTAGGTCACAATACTCTTTTCTGAGTTCATCACTGATATGGTCAGTAATCAAACACTGCCCCATTTGCACGTTTGATTACAAAGAGAGCTTAATTAGTCCTTTTTAACTGGATTTAGTGTAGCATAGTGCATTAAACATTGAATCAAACCACTGGACTGTAGTATTTTTAAATATGGAGCTCTTTTGTTCAAATTTATTAGATACCAAAAAAATAATAAAGACGCATTTTGTGTATCATGAAATGTTCTTGAAGTATCGCGATATTACATTTTTGATGCATCACTGAGCTCCACCTCACAGAGAGCAGTAGAACTTAGATTATGCATCAAAGAATTTTGCAAACTAATCACCCTCAATGATCACAGACTGAGAGATTACATTTTCGATCAATGATTATTTTATAACACAGTAAACGAGTTTAATAACAGCCCCATTAAAGCGGTTCTAACCGCGTCAGCGTGGAGGCCGGTGACTACAGGAGCTCAGCGCTCACACTAAGCGCCGTCCTTAAAGCTCCTTACATGTGATCACACGTCACACAAAGCCAGAGCGCAACAACCCCCCCGACACGGCCAGCGCAGCGTCCACTACACACTCTGCTGCCCTCAGTTTAGAAACACACAGAACACAAACGCTTTGTGCTCCATAAACTGTTAAGAGTTCCTTTAGCAGCTTATAATTCCCAAATTCCCAGCGTTCCCAAGGCCAGACTTGGACCTCCGCTCGGCCTTAACTGCACCAGCTGTGGAGCAGTTAGAGCGTCTAACTGTCTACTCGAAAATAAAAAAGTCAAGAGATTAGATAATTAAATGATTTTGATTATGAGCCTTATGTTAATAATAAAAGTATCTCTAAAATTGTGCACAAACACATTTACTTTTAATGGAAGTTAATGTAAAAAAAAAAAATTTAAATTCGGATCATTCATCATGATTTTTTTACACAACATAAAGGACGGCTGCTGTGTTCAAATGATGTAAAAAATGTGAAAAATGATTTAACAGTTTATAAAATATATTCTATACGTTTTTAACAGGTATATTTCTTATTCCAAACCATACATGCTTTATTTCAACACCTGATTAAGTTAATAAATAAATAAATAAATAAATAAATAAATTAAATTACTAAGATGAGTTTAAATATCCATATATACTGGAATCCCACAAACCCCCTGGCCCCCAGTCTCCCACATCCCACCCTGCCAAAACTCCACCCCATGTTTTTTTTCAGACCTGTGGGAAACACTGATATATTATGTACACAATGTATGTACAGTACAAAATCTTAGACCAGCCAAGAATCTGTTTAAAGCCAGAGTTATACTGGTTACACAAAGGAATACAGCAAGAAAATAATGAAAAACAGTGAACACGGCAAGGGCTGGGCGCTATGACAACTAGGAATATTCAGCAACCGAAATTATTTTGCCAAAAAAAATGGCATAGCAGGTAAAAGTGGCCCAAATCTGATTTTCTGATTGGCAAATCTGATTTTCTGATTGGCTGTTCAGATTATCTTTTAAATCTGATCTGTATGCGACATCAGTCTGAACAGATCAGCTCCTAAACTGACCCACATGGGCAAAAGAACAGAGCGTCACGCTGCTTCACGGCTCATCCAGAGGTAAACAATCACGACCGCCAGCGAACGCCAGTCGCTCCCGGAGGATCAGCTTCATCTTCACCAGCATCACAGGAGCCATCATGAAGCTTCACTGACTGACAGCTGGGCTCATCACCCAGAATGTGTTGGAGCTCAGCGTAAAAAGGGCGCGGTCACTTCTTTGGTTCACGTCCTCGGATTCTTTAAACTGTTTTGGTGCTGCAGCCTCGGTCTCCTCCGGCCACGTTCGGCCGTTTCGTTCGAAACCTCTTCGAACACAGAGGAGTTTGATGAGTCTCTTCTAATGTTTTGGTACAGAAACATCAGCCTGAGTGTTTTTGAGTCTCAGCAGGGCGAAATTATGACGAATGTCGAGTTGGACTGACGTAAAAGTCGCATGAATTCCGATCTGGCTGTTCAGACCGAGTCGCGTTGCTGCAGATCGGATACCTATCGGATTTCAGTACCACATATGAAAGCATCTCAAATCGGAATTGAGAATGTCAGATTCAGTGTGTTTATCTGTTCACACCGACACACATCTGTGTCACATATGAAGAAAAAGATCAGATTTGGGCCACTTTTACCTGCTGAGTGAACGTAGCTTAAGTGAAAAGACAATCATTTACACCGAACAGCACCGTTTTTAATGGCGCTGTTTTTCTAGTTCCCGGCCGCAGACGGAACCAGAGTGGAACTTTTACTCCTTAGCTCCAGGGCTAGAGACAACTGCTCTAGGCTAAAACCCACTTTAACGTGTTATTTTTCCACAGTGAGTCACACCGGAGCTGAAGTTTCCCAGCTTTTATTCAGTTTCAAGCACTCGAGCCAAACATAACCATCTTTCTCTAACGCTCTCTCTCTCGGCGCGCTGCCCACATCCTCCTTAAAGAAACACAAACCCCAATTTTACAACGCGATAAAATCGCAACCAGCGTGGAGCGAGCGGCGCTCTGTAAATGCAGCAAACATGTCGGCTGTGTGAAGCATTTTAAAGTGTCAGAGACCCAAGAACGGCCGTTTGCAGACGCCGCTCTGCTGAACTGTAAAGATACATCTTAACCTATTTATGTTAAGTAAAATGGTCATAATGTATTTTTTGGGAGGGCAAACAAAAATATTTTGTTTTACTAATTTTATTAAGTCATATTGACAACTTTTACTTTTACTGGGGGGGCAAATAATTATTTTTTAAATTTAATTCATATTGGGCTTTGTTGGTGTGTCTGCTGGGATGTTAAAAACGTTAATAATATTTTTAAATTGCAGTTTAGTTATTGTTTTTTCTTTGAAAACCAAGACAAAAATACATTGTCTAATTTACGCAATGGTGAAAAAAGTGGCAAAATTAATGAAACCCTAAAAAAACATGTTCGGTATTTAATTTTGTTCGGTTTCGGCCAATAATTTTCATTTCGGTGCGTCTCTAACGACAACACAAAAAGTATGTCACAATAAAATACATGCTTTTCTGAACACATTGTACACATTGTCAATGCTTGCAGATCACATAATACAAATATAACTTGAAGTGCCACATTCAGTGGATTCAGACGCTTTGACTTTCTGCATACTTTGTGTCGTGGATTTGATTTTGAATGGATATAACTGTCATTTTTACCCATCAATCTACACGTAATCACTAATAATGACAAAGTGGAAACGTTTTTAGAGTTTTTCAAAAATTAGTCACTGATCAGGGCAAAGATATAAAACAACATATAAGGCTTTAAGTGCTCCCTGGACCGCAGTGGCCTCAATAACTTTGAAGTGGAAAAGCTTGGCACAACCTTGAACCTTCCCAGAGTTGGCCGTCCGACCAAATTAGGCAGCCAATCAAGAAGGGCCTTGGTCAAGAAGGTAAGAAAGAATCTGAAGATCACTCTAAAAGAACTCCAAAGGTCCTGTACAGAGAAG